AGGTGCTTAATGTAACCTCGTTGTTTGAAGTAGACAGTTCTTTTAAGCTAACAATAATATGAAGTTTAGAGGTTTGAATTCTGAACTGGATGAGGGCAAATAATGATTAGCTATCATAAAATTCTGAACGTTGATTGCAAGTCAGGCTAAGGAAATTCGTATCTTATGACAAGGTGCAGTTAAGTCAAAAAACCATCAATCAAGTATTTCTGTCATGTAAATTTAATTTTCTGATTACTACATAAGCGTTATTATATTATTTTTAAAAACTACATATTCTCGACGTTACTTTTACTTTTCACCAACCGTGATAACGGTAAACTTCTTTTCGACCATTAAAAATAATAAAATACTCGTAGTAATCGGAAAAATAATAGTTTCATTCAAATATTATTATTAAAATTCACAATGTGATCACTTTATGACACCATAATCTTAATCTTTTGATAGTAAATACTAGTTACCTAAGTAACTTTCTATTTTACTAGAAGTTACCCAAGTAGATTCTTAGGTAAGTATCTTTCATTACCTTAATATCATTGAACATAACGCTTGTTTCAACGATCCTTTCATCCACAACATCTCTGTCTTGTATCAGTCGGTGTCTCATGGCTGAGATGACTGTGTTGTTACAGTTTGGTTGTTTTGTACAATCATCATGTACGTTGGATCTTAGGTGGGCCGATGAATTCTTACTGAAAATTTATTGTATTTATATATATAGGAAACTTTGAAGTAGCAGTTGTATTAGCTATTAATATTATATGTTAATGAATGCCAAGTCAGTATGTTGGGTGTTCATAAATAAGTTTACTCATTCAATTAGTTCACTCTGAAAGTCCTGAATTGTATTGACTTTGAAATTGAAATTCACTATTTTGGAAAGTTAATTATTATATTCTAATTGAAGTAGAACATTTCTGTTACCCTATCGCATGTAGCATTACGGCCAGCAAGGGGGCAACTTACTAATTATCATAAAATATTTTAGTTACTGGCTACCAGGCGAAACAATTTATATTGTTTTTTGTGTTTATAGGAAAACGTAATAATTATTTTCAAGAACTTTTCTAACATTGTGTCATTAAATAATTTTTATATAATATATTGATAAATAATTGTACGTAGGTTTAAAATAATTCCTTTTGTACTAAGACAAAAAAAATATTAATATATTATAAATTACACTCAAATCATACTTACTATTGCATCAATTCATTTTCCTTTCTTTTATATTCCTCAGTTATATTTTCTTTCAACTGGCTACCTCTACTCATCAATTCATTATAAGTCTTAACATATAACAACACATCTGTACTATTTACTCCAAGTATTGAAGACAAACTTTGTACTAAAATGTTTAGTTTTTGTAGATTTCTTTCAACATTTTCCTGTTCTTTGCATATATCAGTCATTGATTTCTGAAAAATTATAAATTACATACTTATATGTCAAGAAAATAAATATGCAAAAAATTAAAATCATGCATCAGAATTATTCAAAAAACTTAAAAACATATCAGAAATTTAAGAAAGTAGGTCCAAATAAAATTATAATTCTTTTAATTAATTTTTGTAAAATAAAATCTTGACATACTTTACTATATATGTGGTTGAGTTTAACTAGATGTCAGCACTAAACCGTTTTAGTTTGATCCTAAAACCAATTATACCTATGCTTTTATATGATAATCCTTATTAAAAATAAAGTGTTTATCCAAATTATGAATTTGGATGAATCAATTAATAACGAACACAATACAAACTATATGCAAACAAAACCTCTTTAGAATTCAATGTATTCACCGTGCGGGTGCCAGGTCCATCGTTGTAGTGAGAGGAGCTTCAACAGTGTCTGTGACTTGCGACTCAGATGTAGGTTTAAAGGGTCCCTATCTAACGCGCATTAAACGCTCACCTCCACTGTCCAAGCTCCTCTCTCTACCTAACCAAATTTGAAAAGAACCTACAAGGACTGCCTTCGAAGTACGATCCAGGAATGAGTTAATGTGAGTTCTGGACAGGCCCAAGTCATTTAGTAGGTAGTAGCCCTAGTAGGGCTGCCTTATAAAACACATATACTCACGATTCTATCAGTCACTATTTCGCTCTCCTGTATCACATACAACCGTAGATGAGCCGCGAACTGCATGACATCTTCCATAGTACGTAGCTCCCTTCTTAATGCGTAGTGCACGAGACGATCTAACGTTACAGCCTGCTGACATACATCCACTAGGCATGATAGGTCTTTGTAGATTTGTCTGGAAAATAATACAAAATTCATTACTAACTTTATTCATTACTGTTGTGTTTTTAATCCCCGACGCAAAAACGACAGGGTTATAAGTTTGACGTGTCTATGTGTATGTGTGTGTGTATATGTCTGTCTGATGTAATGTAGCTCCCAAACGGATGAGCCGATTTTAATGCGGTTTTTTTGTTTGAAAGGTATATCCGTTGAGTGTTCTTAGCTATGTTTTTTAGAAATCGATTCATCAATCGATTCGCGTTTGTTAGGCGTGATAGGAATATTTCGTCCTATCCAGAATAGAATAAAACGAACTCGTCAGGTACTAAAAAATGCAATCTGTTTTTCTAGATGTTGTTCATTTACGCTGCTAATTTGTTGAAACTTCTTTGTTGGAGCAATATAAATGTACAGGATGTTGTACGTTTTACAATCTGAATTCTTAAAATGTTTTATACCTTGTTATATTAAGCCAGTAGAGAATTTACCGAAATTAACATAAAGACCGCAGCAGACAAATTATGTAATAAGAAGTTTATTTACTTTAAAGAAATTTTACTTTGAAAGTTTTAAGTCCATTGTTTATTTACGCTAAAATAATTTTGTTTGTTTTTCGATAAAATGTATCTAAATTATAAGTAAATTTTTCACAAATTCACAAATATTGTCTTAAAACAAACCAATAAGATTTCAACAAAGAAGGATTCAAATTAATTTTATCCATTATTTTATTATTAAGTTTTGTTTGTAAAAAGATAGGTTAGTTTAACCCTATCCATAACATTATGAGAGATTCTATTTCAAGTCAGAGAATGTTGTTAAGTATGTTTCTTAAGCCAAATTGAATTTAGATTTAGTTCCTTAGTTCCCAAATTGTCTTATAGTCAAACAGAATATTATATTTATAGGTGGACTTGAAAGCAATAAATTGCAATTCGATTTCAAGCCAGATGCTATTACAACTGTCCCCGATCTTTTTGTAGTGACAATTGTTCCTAAATATGTTTTTTCTTACGCTATGACTTCTACTCATTGGAATTGTTAAATATTTCTCCAATATCAATGTTTTTATTTGTTGAACGAATTATAATCTTGAAAACTGTTTGTAGAAGGTGTCTTTCAAACGGAATAAAGGCGTTTATCTAATGATATATATAATTTTAAACTTAATACGGAATCATTTCAATGAAAGTGTGGGAGGTCGTAAAGTTTTTTTTTTCTTTTCTCTCGTGACACCTGCCTGCCAAATTCATAATACTGGGTCAACGGGAACATCCAAATAGGTTTTATATTGCCAGCGTCAAATATGAGATATAAACGGAGCATAAATTTGACCGCCCCAAAGTAGATCATTCTCCTTGCCGCAGACATTTTTGAATATATGTAATAATAATTAATCATTTATAAGCCTCTAGTAACGATTACGGACACTTATTTCTGACCTAAATTTGTTAAATCAAATCCATTAGTAACATTAAGAACTGAGTTTAAAATTAATACTTCTTGACAGATTAAGATACATAGTTTAATTTCTGTAGCTAATATAAGCTGTGACGTAAAACGCAATATTTTAAATGTCATTTCCAGTCACATTTCCAGATGTAACGTTTACTTAAAATTTTAATAATGTTTTCAAATTAGTTACAAAATAGTATAAGGTAGGTATAAATATTATGATTAAAGTTTTGTTCCACAAATAAAAGAACTGTTTTCATTTAGAACGACGAAGTAGCAAAGATGGGGCATTATTTTTATGAATTTAAATTAGATATGGTCCTTAGTTTAACAAGGATTTCTAATAATGAAATGAGTAACATTTGCAATACTAAAAGGTAAAGTTACATATTTATGCATACTGAAACGAACTCGTCGGGTTTGATATGACACACTAAACTTTGTTCAAAACAGCAAAATGAGCGAAAAATACTTGATAACTCATGAAAAGCATCAAAGTATATAAAATTATATGTTGTTTTAAGTAATATCTACTGCTCTCTTATAAAATTTTCATGTTATTTCTGAGCAATATTCGCAAAATATATTTCTATAGTACATGTAATATTTAATTTAAAATAGCATAAATTTTTGATGATTTGTATTCAAGTTCATTTAAGTGAAAAACATTTTTTTATTTAATTTAATAACGGTTTCAAACAATATTACTTTTTTTTGTTAGAGATTTTTAATAAAGAATATTATTTAGAAGTTGACTGAATACTGTAAGGAAAATGAAATTTCTGTTATGACCGAAATGAAATTGTTATTAAGGAATTTGAAATTAAAATTTATTTTAATATTTTCAAATAATAATTAATTACATATTTATATATTTAAATAAGTTTTCTAAATTCCATTCTATAATAAAATTCACTTTAAGAGATGGCTATAACTTATAAGCGTATCAGACGTGGAATGTAATAATATTTTTAAAACACTCATATCTTTACAATTTATTGATCTTGTATTTTAATATAAAAAGAATAAAACGCAAATATATACTTTTGGTAACATTATAATAGTTAGGGTTAATTGTTTGTATTTAATTAATATTCATGAGCTTGAGGACATCTTAAGTATCTTAGATAATTGGACGTGATATTATGACCATCTGACGATGTGTCGTAGTAAACAACGTCACCCATATGACCACAACAAATTTGATATCCATAATTGTAACAATATAAAGTTACCTAGGTTTACTGTGGAAGTACCTAGACTACAAAAGTATTTCTCTGTTATCACAGAAAACAATGCAGAGCAAACACCGGTATGACTGTATCGGCATGTCTTCGGAAGATGAAGCATCAATTCTTGATCCTGCCACATCTACTCTACGAGACGGGGGACTGCTCCAAGAACGTAACGAACACCAACCAAGAGGGAATACATCACCAGGCAGGTGCAGAGCACGCACCGCCTGTCAGAATGGCCTTATCGGCGCTATCAGCTTTAATGACGGATGAGACGTGAAAATAATTTGAGGCTGTCATCAATTCTTATTAAAACTCATTAGTATTTATGATTATTGTTAAAAGTAAAACGAAATCAAATATTGTTTGAAAGGAGAATAGAACTAGATTTAAATCTTGGTATAAATATGACGTGTTCAGAGTTCAGTGAGTGCGTATCATTGAAGTATGTGATTATGAAGAACCTTCAAGAAATACAGGAATATTAAGAACAATTGAAGTTTCATTTTAAAATATCATGGAGCTTTAGAAGAAGTGACATTTGTAACGTCAGCGAGGCTGGCGTCTCTCTCTTAGAAAACAATGAATTTGTAATAAATCCGATATATACAAATATTTTACTTATAATAAGTTTTAATAATTGCAATTCAACAATTGACTATATCACATCTAATCTGCCCGTGATCACGGTTGCTGTAAAGTAGCCAAAACGTCGGGAGTATGAAGTTTATAGTCAAAAATAAAAAACGCGTAGTAAATCCGAAAATATTAGTTTCATTTAATTGACAATATCATTTGATTTCATTGTTTTTTATACAATTTGAAATATATGTACATGTCATGTACTTAACATGTACATTTGTAAATTTCACCAAAACTATATGACAACAAAATTCACAGTGTAGACAAAAATTCAATATATTTGTGAGAAACCTATAATTCATAATTATCCAATTAAATTATGTTCCTTTTGAAAATTCGCTTTATTAATAACTAGCTGACCCGGCGAACCCTATATCTGTTACCTTTTATCTGAATAAAATTAATTTCTTTATTAAGTATAACTGACCCGACAGACAATGGTCTGTCTTCTTACTGTGATTATTGGATTCTTATTGGTATATTAATACATATAAACATTATTCCAAAAAAAAAGTGTTTATTATTCTAATACTTTATTCTAACTACGTGATATTACCGCCAGTGACATATTATTTTAACATAAAAGTGAAACATTGTAGTTATTTTCTTTTCTAGTAATTTTCGTATTTTTTTATTACATAAGAACCTTCTCCTATCAATAACAAATACATTATACAACAAAAAAAGAATCAGTGAAATCGGTCCAGCAATTCACGCGTGATGCCGTGACCAAGGGAAAAAGGTATTAAAATTTTTATATATGTACATACATAGATTGTTCCTCATTTCTCTGAATTTTAGTTTTAGCACTTAATAAATGCCCTGCGATTGAAAATAATTTCCATATGACAATCTTTCTTAAAGTAGCCCAAATGTGTGCAAGTTAAAAAAATCAATCTAAATGCTGAACAATTTCTTTTGCATTGAACTTGACGACAACTTTTGTAATATAATCCCTGCTTCGTAAAGGTCACTAATAGTTCCATACTATGATTTAAGAAAGAAGACACCAGGTTTAGAAGATTATATAAAATACAGACAAATCAAATGTTTTTGATAAACCATAGCATTAAGTGTCATAAAAATATAAATATGCATAAACGTATTAATACATATTTGGTTGGCAACTAGAATATTATCCGGGACTTTATTGTAAATAGTTTTATATGGTAAATTTCATATTTGGTCTGAAATTTGAAAATTGAAATAGTTTAAATATATTGCAATAGCTAAATATGTAGCAAGAATTCCACAGAAGTATATTTCCTTTATTTATATTACACAAAATTACTTAATATTATACAGAGTGGTTAACTAGAGCTGTAACGTTCATACAAATGCAATTTAACTATACCGTGTTTTTAAAACAGCTTATAGAATCTTACTTATACAATAATGAAAATAAAGGCATCTAATATCTTTCTTAACATATGTACATATATATTGGACGTTCTAACTCTTGCTAACCGACTTTGTTGTTGTTGTCCGATATGGCCTGGAGATTTTGAGTTACTATATAAGTATGAAACATATAATAACAGCTACAAAGAATCACTATCAGGATCTGGTTGTCCGATATGGCCTGGAGATTTTGAGTTACTATATAAGTATGAAACATATAATAACAGCTACAAAGAATCACTATCAGGATCTGGTTGTCCGATATGGCCTGGAGATTTTGAGTTACTATATAAGTATGAAACATATAATAACAGCTACAAAGAATCACTATCAGGATCTGGTTGTCCGATATGGCCTGGAGATTTTGAGTTACTATATAAGTATGAAACATATAATAACAGCTACAAAGAATCACTATCAGGATCTGGTTGTCCGATATGGCCTGGAGATTTTGAGTTACTATATAAGTATGAAACATATAATAACAGCTACAAAGAATCACTATCAGGATCTGGTTGTCCGATATGGCCTGGAGATTTTGAGTTACTATATAAGTATGAAACATATAATAACAGCTACAAAGAATCACTATCAGGATCTGGTTGTCCGATATGGCCTGGAGATTTTGAGTTACTATATAAGTATGAAACATATAATAACAGCTACAAAGAATCACTATCAGGATCTGGTTGTCCGATATGGCCTGGAGATTTTGAGTTACTATATAAGTATGAAACATATAATAACAGCTACAAAGAATCACTATCAGGATCTGGTTGTCCGATATGGCCTGGAGATTTTGAGTTACTATATAAGTATGAAACATATAATAACAGCTACAAAGAATCACTATCAGGATCTGGTTGTCCGATATGGCCTGGAGATTTTGAGTTACTATATAAGTATGAAACATATAATAACAGCTACAAAGAATCACTATCAGGATCTGGTTGTCCGATATGGCCTGGAGATTTTGAGTTACTATATAAGTATGAAACATATAATAACAGCTACAAAGAATCACTATCAGGATCTGGTTGTCCGATATGGCCTGGAGATTTTGAGTTACTATATAAGTATGAAACATATAATAACAGCTACAAAGAATCACTATCAGGATCTGGTTGTCCGATATGGCCTGGAGATTTTGAGTTACTATATAAGTATGAAACATATAATAACAGCTACAAAGAATCACTATCAGGATCTGGTTGTCCGATATGGCCTGGAGATTTTGAGTTACTATATAAGTATGAAACATATAATAACAGCTACAAAGAATCACTATCAGGATCTGGTTGTCCGATATGGCCTGGAGATTTTGAGTTACTATATAAGTATGAAACATATAATAACAGCTACAAAGAATCACTATCAGGATCTGGTTGTCCGATATGGCCTGGAGATTTTGAGTTACTATATAAGTATGAAACATATAATAACAGCTACAAAGAATCACTATCAGGATCTGGTTGTCCGATATGGCCTGGAGATTTTGAGTTACTATATAAGTATGAAACATATAATAACAGCTACAAAGAATCACTATCAGGATCTGGTTGTCCGATATGGCCTGGAGATTTTGAGTTACTATATAAGTATGAAACATATAATAACAGCTACAAAGAATCACTATCAGGATCTGGTTGTCCGATATGGCCTGGAGATTTTGAGTTACTATATAAGTATGAAACATATAATAACAGCTACAAAGAATCACTATCAGGATCTGGTTGTCCGATATGGCCTGGAGATTTTGAGTTACTATATAAGTATGAAACATATAATAACAGCTACAAAGAATCACTATCAGGATCTGGTTGTCCGATATGGCCTGGAGATTTTTGAGTTACTATATAAGTATGAAACATATAATAACAGCTACAAAGAATCACTATCAGGATCTGGTTGTCCGATATGGCCTGGAGATTTTGAGTTACTATATAAGTATGAAACATATAATAACAGCTACAAAGAATCACTATCAGGATCTGGTTGTCCGATATGGCCTGGAGATTTTGAGTTACTATATAAGTATGAAACATATAATAACAGCTACAAAGAATCACTATCAGGATCTGGTTGTCCGATATGGCCTGGAGATTTTGAGTTACTATATAAGTATGAAACATATAATAACAGCTACAAAGAATCACTATCAGGATCTGGTTGTCCGATATGGCCTGGAGATTTTGAGTTACTATATAAGTATGAAACATATAATAACAGCTACAAAGAATCACTATCAGGATCTGGTTGTCCGATATGGCCTGGAGATTTTGAGTTACTATATAAGTATGAAACATATAATAACAGCTACAAAGAATCACTATCAGGATCTGGTTGTCCGATATGGCCTGGAGATTTTGAGTTACTATATAAGTATGAAACATATAATAACAGCTACAAAGAATCACTATCAGGATCTGGTTGTCCGATATGGCCTGGAGATTTTGAGTTACTATATAAGTATGAAACATATAATAACAGCTACAAAGAATCACTATCAGGATCTGGTTGTCCGATATGGCCTGGAGATTTTGAGTTACTATATAAGTATGAAACATATAATAACAGCTACAAAGAATCACTATCAGGATCTGGTTGTCCGATATGGCCTGGAGATTTTGAGTTACTATATAAGTATGAAACATATAATAACAGCTACAAAGAATCACTATCAGGATCTGGTTGTCCGATATGGCCTGGAGATTTTGAGTTACTATATAAGTATGAAACATATAATAACAGCTACAAAGAATCACTATCAGGATCTGGTTGTCCGATATGGCCTGGAGATTTTGAGTTACTATATAAGTATGAAACATATAATAACAGCTACAAAGAATCACTATCAGGATCTGGTTGTCCGATATGGCCTGGAGATTTTGAGTTACTATATAAGTATGAAACATATAATAACAGCTACAAAGAATCACTATCAGGATCTGGTTGTCCGATATGGCCTGGAGATTTTGAGTTACTATATAAGTATGAAACATATAATAACAGCTACAAAGAATCACTATCAGGATCTGGTTGTCCGATATGGCCTGGAGATTTTGAGTTACTATATAAGTATGAAACATATAATAACAGCTACAAAGAATCACTATCAGGATCTGGTTGTCCGATATGGCCTGGAGATTTTGAGTTACTATATAAGTATGAAACATATAATAACAGCTACAAAGAATCACTATCAGGATCTGGTTGTCCGATATGGCCTGGAGATTTTGAGTTACTATATAAGTATGAAACATATAATAACAGCTACAAAGAATCACTATCAGGATCTGGTTGTCCGATATGGCCTGGAGATTTTGAGTTACTATATAAGTATGAAACATATAATAACAGCTACAAAGAATCACTATCAGGATCTGGTTGTCCGATATGGCCTGGAGATTTTGAGTTACTATATAAGTATGAAACATATAATAACAGCTACAAAGAATCACTATCAGGATCTGGTTGTCCGATATGGCCTGGAGATTTTGAGTTACTATATAAGTATGAAACATATAATAACAGCTACAAAGAATCACTATCAGGATCTGGTTGTCCGATATGGCCTGGAGATTTTGAGTTACTATATAAGTATGAAACATATAATAACAGCTACAAAGAATCACTATCAGGATCTGGTTGTCCGATATGGCCTGGAGATTTTTGAGTTACTATATAAGTATGAAACATATAATAACAGCTACAAAGAATCACTATCAGGATCTGGTTGTCCGATATGGCCTGGAGATTTTGAGTTACTATATAAGTATGAAACATATAATAACAGCTACAAAGAATCACTATCAGGATCTGGTTGTCCGATATGGCCTGGAGATTTTGAGTTACTATATAAGTATGAAACATATAATAACAGCTACAAAGAATCACTATCAGGATCTGGTTGTCCGATATGGCCTGGAGATTTTGAGTTACTATATAAGTATGAAACATATAATAACAGCTACAAAGAATCACTATCAGGATCTGGTTGTCCGATATGGCCTGGAGATTTTGAGTTACTATATAAGTATGAAACATATAATAACAGCTACAAAGAATCACTATCAGGATCTGGTTGTCCGATATGGCCTGGAGATTTTGAGTTACTATATAAGTATGAAACATATAATAACAGCTACAAAGAATCACTATCAGGATCTGGTTGTCCGATATGGCCTGGAGATTTTGAGTTACTATATAAGTATGAAACATATAATAACAGCTACAAAGAATCACTATCAGGATCTGGTTGTCCGATATGGCCTGGAGATTTTGAGTTACTATATAAGTATGAAACATATAATAACAGCTACAAAGAATCACTATCAGGATCTGGTTGTCCGATATGGCCTGGAGATTTTGAGTTACTATATAAGTATGAACATATAATAACAGCTACAAAGAATCACTATCAGGATCTGGTTGTCCGATATGGCCTGGAGATTTTGAGTTACTATATAAGTATGAAACATATAATAACAGCTACAAAGAATCACTATCAGGATCTGGTTGTCCGATATGGCCTGGAGATTTTGAGTTACTATATAAGTATGAAACATATAATAACAGCTACAAAGAATCACTATCAGGATCTGGTTGTCCGATATGGCCTGGAGATTTTGAGTTACTATATAAGTATGAAACATATAATAACAGCTACAAAGAATCACTATCAGGATCTGGTTGTCCGATATGGCCTGGAGATTTTGAGTTACTATATAAGTATGAAACATATAATAACAGCTACAAAGAATCACTATCAGGATCTGGTTGTCCGATATGGCCTGGAGATTTTGAGTTACTATATAAGTATGAAACATATAATAACAGCTACAAAGAATCACTATCAGGATCTGGTTGTCCGATATGGCCTGGAGATTTTGAGTTACTATATAAGTATGAAACATATAATAACAGCTACAAAGAATCACTATCAGGATCTGGTTGTCCGATATGGCCTGGAGATTTTGAGTTACTATATAAGTATGAAACATATAATAACAGCTACAAAGAATCACTATCAGGATCTGGTTGTCCGATATGGCCTGGAGATTTTTGAGTTAGGTTGTCCGATATGGCCTGGAGATTTTGAGTTACTATATAAGTATGAAACATATAATAACAGCTACAAAGAATCACTATCAGGATCTGGTTGTCCGATATGGCCTGGAGATTTTGAGTTACTATATAAGTATGAAACATATAATAACAGCTACAAAGAATCACTATCAGGATCTGGTTGTCCGATATGGCCTGGAGATTTTGAGTTACTATATAAGTATGAAACATATAATAACAGCTACAAAGAATCACTATCAGGATCTGGTTGTCCGATATGGCCTGGAGATTTTGAGTTACTATATAAGTATGAAACATATAATAACAGCTACAAAGAATCACTATCAGGATCTGGTTGTCCGATATGGCCTGGAGATTTTGAGTTACTATATAAGTATGAAACATATAATAACAGCTACAAAGAATCACTATCAGGATCTGGTTGTCCGATATGGCCTGGAGATTTTGAGTTACTATATAAGTATGAAACATATAATAACAGCTACAAAGAATCACTATCAGGATCTGGTTGTCCGATATGGCCTGGAGATTTTGAGTTACTATATAAGTATGAAACATATAATAACAGCTACAAAGAATCACTATCAGGATCTGGTTGTCCGATATGGCCTGGAGATTTTGAGTTACTATATAAGTATGAAACATATAATAACAGCTACAAAGAATCACTATCAGGATCTGGTTGTCCGATATGGCCTGGAGATTTTGAGTTACTATATAAGTATGAAACATATAATAACAGCTACAAAGAATCACTATCAGGATCTGGTTGTCCGATATGGCCTGGAGATTTTGAGTTACTATATAAGTATGAAACATATAATAACAGCTACAAAGAATCACTATCAGGATCTGGTTGTCCGATATGGCCTGGAGATTTTGAGTTACTATATAAGTATGAAACATATAATAACAGCTACAAAGAATCACTATCAGGATCTGGTTGTCCGATATGGCCTGGAGATTTTGAGTTACTATATAAGTATGAAACATATAATAACAGCTACAAAGAATCACTATCAGGATCTGGTTGTCCGATATGGCCTGGAGATTTTGAGTTACTATATAAGTATGAAACATATAATAACAGCTACAAAGAATCACTATCAGGATCTGGTTGTCCGATATGGCCTGGAGATTTTGAGTTACTATATAAGTATGAAACATATAATAACAGCTACAAAGAATCACTATCAGGATCTGGTTGTCCGATATGGCCTGGAGATTTTGAGTTACTATATAAGTATGAAACATATAATAACAGCTACAAAGAATCACTATCAGGATCTGGTTGTCCGATATGGCCTGGAGATTTTGAGTTACTATATAAGTATGAAACATATAATAACAGCTACAAAGAATCACTATCAGGATCTGGTTGTCCGATATGGCCTGGAGATTTTGAGTTACTATATAAGTATGAAACATATAATAACAGCTACAAAGAATCACTATCAGGATCTGGTTGTCCGATATGGCCTGGAGATTTTGAGTTACTATATAAGTATGAAACATATAATAACAGCTACAAAGAATCACTATCAGGATCTGGTTGTCCGATATGGCCTGGAGATTTTGAGTTACTATATAAGTATGAAACATATAATAACAGCTACAAAGAATCACTATCAGGATCTGGTTGTCCGATATGGCCTGGAGATTTTGAGTTACTATATAAGTATGAAACATATAATAACAGCTACAAAGAATCACTATCAGGATCTGGTTGTCCGATATGGCCTGGAGATTTTGAGTTACTATATAAGTATGAAACATATAATAACAGCTACAAAGAATCACTATCAGGATCTGGTTGTCCGATATGGCCTGGAGATTTTGAGTTACTATATAAGTATGAAACATATAATAACAGCTACAAAGAATCACTATCAGGATCTGGTTGTCCGATATGGCCTGGAGATTTTGAGTTACTATATAAGTATGAAACATATAATAACAGCTACAAAGAATCACTATCAGGATCTGGTTGTCCGATATGGCCTGGAGATTTTGAGTTACTATATAAGTATGAAACATATAATAACAGCTACAAAGAATCACTATCAGGATCTGGTTGTCCGATATGGCCTGGAGATTTTGAGTTACTATATAAGTATGAAACATATAATAACAGCTACAAAGAATCACTATCAGGATCTGGTTGTCCGATATGGCCTGGAGATTTTGAGTTACTATATAAGTATGAAACATATAATAACAGCTACAAAGAATCACTATCAGGATCTGGTTGTCCGATATGGCCTGGAGATTTTGAGTTACTATATAAGTATGAAACATATAATAACAGCTACAAAGAATCACTATCAGGATCTGGTTGTCCGATATGGCCTGGAGATTTTGAGTTACTATATAAGTATGAAACATATAATAACAGCTACAAAGAATCACTATCAGGATCTGGTTGTCCGATATGGCCTGGAGATTTTGAGTTACTATATAAGTATGAAACATATAATAACAGCTACAAAGAATCACTATCAGGATCTGGTTGTCCGATATGGCCTGGAGATTTTGAGTTACTATATAAGTATGAAACATATAATAACAGCTACAAAGAATCACTATCAGGATCTGGTTGTCCGATATGGCCTGGAGATTTTGAGTTACTATATAAGTATGAAACATATAATAACAGCTACAAAGAATCACTATCAGGATCTGGTTGTCCGATATGGCCTGGAGATTTTGAGTTACTATATAAGTATGAAACATATAATAACAGCTACAAAGAATCACTATCAGGATCTGGTTGTCCGATATGGCCTGGAGATTTTGAGTTACTATATAAGTATGAAACATATAATAACAGCTACAAAGAATCACTATCAGGATCTGGTTGTCCGATATGGCCTGGAGATTTTGAGTTACTATATAAGTATGAAACATATAATAACAGCTACAAAGAATCACTATCAGGATCTGGTTGTCCGATATGGCCTGGAGATTTTGAGTTACTATATAAGTATGAAACATATAATAACAGCTACAAAGAATCACTATCAGGATCTGGTTGTCCGATATGGCCTGGAGATTTTGAGTTACTATATAAGTATGAAACATATAATAACAGCTACAAAGAATCACTATCAGGATCTGGTTGTCCGATATGGCCTGGAGATTTTGAGTTACTATATAAGTATGAAACATATAATAACAGCTACAAAGAATCACTATCAGGATCTGGTTGTCCGATATGGCCTGGAGATTTTGAGTTACTATATAAGTATGAAACATATAATAACAGCTACAAAGAATCACTATCAGGATCTGGTTGTCCGATATGGCCTGGAGATTTTGAGTTACTATATAAGTATGAAACATATAATAACAGCTACAAAGAATCACTATCAGGATCTGGTTGTCCGATATGGCCTGGAGATTTTGAGTTACTATATAAGTATGAAACATATAATAACAGCTACAAAGAATCACTATCAGGATCTGGTTGTCCGATATGGCCTGGAGATTTTGAGTTACTATATAAGTATGAAACATATAATAACAGCTACAAAGAATCACTATCAGGATCTGGTTGTCCGATATGGCCTGGAGATTTTGAGTTACTATATAAGTATGAAACATATAATAACAGCTACAAAGAATCACTATCAGGATCTGGTTGTCCGATATGGCCTGGAGATTTTGAGTTACTATATAAGTATGAAACATATAATAACAGCTACAAAGAATCACTATCAGGATCTGGTTGTCCGATATGGCCTGGAGATTTTGAGTTACTATATAAGTATGAAACATATAATAACAGCTACAAAGAATCACTATCAGGATCTGGTTGTCCGATATGGCCTGGAGATTTTGAGTTACTATATAAGTATGAAACATATAATAACAGCTACAAAGAATCACTATCAGGATCTGGTTGTCCGATATGGCCTGGAGATTTTGAGTTACTATATAAGTATGAAACATATAATAACAGCTACAAAGAATCACTATCAGGATCTGGTTGTCCGATATGGCCTGGAGATTTTGAGTTACTATATAAGTATGAAACATATAATAACAGCTACAAAGAATCACTATCAGGATCTGGTTGTCCGATATGGCCTGGAGATTTTGAGTTACTATATAAGTATGAAACATATAATAACAGCTACAAAGAATCACTATCAGGATCTGGTTGTCCGATATGGCCTGGAGATTTTGAGTTACTATATAAGTATGAAACATATAATAACAGCTACAAAGAATCACTATCAGGATCTGGTTGTCCGATATGGCCTGGAGATTTTGAGTTACTATATAAGTATGAAACATATAATAACAGCTACAAAGAATCACTATCAGGATCTGGTTGTCCGATATGGCCTGGAGATTTTGAGTTACTATATAAGTATGAAACATATAATAACAGCTACAAAGAATCACTATCAGGATCTGGTTGTCCGATATGGCCTGGAGATTTTGAGTTACTATATAAGTATGAAACATATAATAACAGCTACAAAGAATCACTATCAGGATCTGGTTGTCCGATATGGCCTGGAGATTTTGAGTTACTATATAAGTATGAAACATATAATAACAGCTACAAAGAATCACTATCAGGATCTGGTTGTCCGATATGGCCTGGAGATTTTGAGTTACTATATAAGTATGAAACATATAATAACAGCTACAAAGAATCACTATCAGGATCTGGTTGTCCGATATGGCCTGGAGATTTTGAGTTACTATATAAGTATGAAACATATAATAACAGCTACAAAGAATCACTATCAGGATCTGGTTGTCCGATATGGCCTGGAGATTTTGAGTTACTATATAAGTATGAAACATATAATAACAGCTACAAAGAATCACTATCAGGATCTGGTTGTCCGATATGGCCTGGAGATTTTGAGTTACTATATAAGTATGAAACATATAATAACAGCTACAAAGAATCACTATCAGGATCTGGTTGTCCGATATGGCCTGGAGATTTTGAGTTACTATATAAGTATGAAACATATAATAACAGCTACAAAGAATCACTATCAGGATCTGGTTGTCCGATATGGCCTGGAGATTTTGAGTTACTATATAAGTATGAAACATATAATAACAGCTACAAAGAATCACTATCAGGATCTGGTTGTCCGATATGGCCTGGAGATTTTGAGTTACTATATAAGTATGAAACATATAATAACAGCTACAAAGAATCACTATCAGGATCTGGTTGTCCGATATGGCCTGGAGATTTTGAGTTACTATATAAGTATGAAACATATAATAACAGCTACAAAGAATCACTATCAGGATCTGGTTGTCCGATATGGCCTGGAGATTTTGAGTTACTATATAAGTATGAAACATATAATAACAGCTACAAAGAATCACTATCAGGATCTGGTTGTCCGATATGGCCTGGAGATTTTGAGTTACTATATAAGTATGAAACATATAATAACAGCTACAAAGAATCACTATCAGGATCTGGTTGTCCGATATGGCCTGGAGATTTTGAGTTACTATATAAGTATGAAACATATAATAACAGCTACAAAGAATCACTATCAGGATCTGGTTGTCCGATATGGCCTGGAGATTTTGAGTTACTATATAAGTATGAAACATATAATAACAGCTACAAAGAATCACTATCAGGATCTGGTTGTCCGATATGGCCTGGAGATTTTGAGTTACTATATAAGTATGAAACATATAATAACAGCTACAAAGAATCACTATCAGGATCTGGTTGTCCGATATGGCCTGGAGATTTTGAGTTACTATATAAGTATGAAACATATAATAACAGCTACAAAGAATCACTATCAGGATCTGGTTGTCCGATATGGCCTGGAGATTTTGAGTTACTATATAAGTATGAAACATATAATAACAGCTACAAAGAATCACTATCAGGATCTGGTTGTCCGATATGGCCTGGAGATTTTGAGTTACTATATAAGTATGAAACATATAATAACAGCTACAAAGAATCACTATCAGGATCTGGTTGTCCGATATGGCCTGGAGATTTTGAGTTACTATATAAGTATGAAACATATAATAACAGCTACAAAGAATCACTATCAGGATCTGGTTGTCCGATATGGCCTGGAGATTTTGAGTTACTATATAAGTATGAAACATATAATAACAGCTACAAAGAATCACTATCAGGATCTGGTTGTCCGATATGGCCTGGAGATTTTGAGTTACTATATAAGTATGAAACATATAATAACAGCTACAAAGAATCACTATCAGGATCTGGTTGTCCGATATGGCCTGGAGATTTTGAGTTACTATATAAGTATGAAACATATAATAACAGCTACAAAGAATCACTATCAGGATCTGGTTGTCCGATATGGCCTGGAGATTTTGAGTTACTATATAAGTATGAAACATATAATAACAGCTACAAAGAATCACTATCAGGATCTGGTTGTCCGATATGGCCTGGAGATTTTGAGTTACTATATAAGTATGAAACATATAATAACAGCTACAAAGAATCACTATCAGGATCTGGTTGTCCGATATGGCCTGGAGATTTTGAGTTACTATATAAGTATGAAACATATAATAACAGCTACAAAGAATCACTATCAGGATCTGGTTGTCCGATATGGCCTGGAGATTTTGAGTTACTATATAAGTATGAAACATATAATAACAGCTACAAAGAATCACTATCAGGATCTGGTTGTCCGATATGGCCTGGAGATTTTGAGTTACTATATAAGTATGAAACATATAATAACAGCTACAAAGAATCACTATCAGGATCTGGTTGTCCGATATGGCCTGGAGATTTTGAGTTACTATATAAGTATGAAACATATAATAACAGCTACAAAGAATCACTATCAGGATCTGGTTGTCCGATATGGCCTGGAGATTTTGAGTTACTATATAAGTATGAAACATATAATAACAGCTACAAAGAATCACTATCAGGATCTGGTTGTCCGATATGGCCTGGAGATTTTGAGTTACTATATAAGTATGAAACATATAATAACAGCTACAAAGAATCACTATCAGGATCTGGTTGTCCGATATGGCCTGGAGATTTTGAGTTACTATATAAGTATGAAACATATAATAACAGCTACAAAGAATCACTATCAGGATCTGGTTGTCCGATATGGCCTGGAGATTTTGAGTTACTATATAAGTATGAAACATATAATAACAGCTACAAAGAATCACTATCAGGATCTGGTTGTCCGATATGGCCTGGAGATTTTGAGTTACTATATAAGTATGAAACATATAATAACAGCTACAAAGAATCACTATCAGGATCTGGTTGTCCGATATGGCCTGGAGATTTTGAGTTACTATATAAGTATGAAACATATAATAACAGCTACAAAGAATCACTATCAGGATCTGGTTGTCCGATATGGCCTGGAGATTTTGAGTTACTATATAAGTATGAAACATATAATAACAGCTACAAAGAATCACTATCAGGATCTGGTTGTCCGATATGGCCTGGAGATTTTGAGTTACTATATAAGTATGAAACATATAATAACAGCTACAAAGAATCACTATCAGGATCTGGTTGTCCGATATGGCCTGGAGATTTTGAGTTACTATATAAGTATGAAACATATAATAACAGCTACAAAGAATCACTATCAGGATCTGGTTGTCCGATATGGCCTGGAGATTTTGAGTTACTATATAAGTATGAAACATATAATAACAGCTACAAAGAATCACTATCAGGATCTGGTTGTCCGATATGGCCTGGAGATTTTGAGTTACTATATAAGTATGAAACATATAATAACAGCTACAAAGAATCACTATCAGGATCTGGTTGTCCGATATGGCCTGGAGATTTTGAGTTACTATATAAGTATGAAACATATAATAACAGCTACAAAGAATCACTATCAGGATCTGGTTGTCCGATATGGCCTGGAGATTTTGAGTTACTATATAAGTATGAAACATATAATAACAGCTACAAAGAATCACTATCAGGATCTGGTTGTCCGATATGGCCTGGAGATTTTGAGTTACTATATAAGTATGAAACATATAATAACAGCTACAAAGAATCACTATCAGGATCTGGTTGTCCGATATGGCCTGGAGATTTTGAGTTACTATATAAGTATGAAACATATAATAACAGCTACAAAGAATCACTATCAGGATCTGGTTGTCCGATATGGCCTGGAGATTTTGAGTTACTATATAAGTATGAAACATATAATAACAGCTACAAAGAATCACTATCAGGATCTGGTTGTCCGATATGGCCTGGAGATTTTGAGTTACTATATAAGTATGAAACATATAATAACAGCTACAAAGAATCACTATCAGGATCTGGTTGTCCGATATGGCCTGGAGATTTTGAGTTACTATATAAGTATGAAACATATAATAACAGCTACAAAGAATCACTATCAGGATCTGGTTGTCCGATATGGCCTGGAGATTTTGAGTTACTATATAAGTATGAAACATATAATAACAGCTACAAAGAATCACTATCAGGATCTGGTTGTCCGATATGGCCTGGAGATTTTGAGTTACTATATAAGTATGAAACATATAATAACAGCTACAAAGAATCACTATCAGGATCTGGTTGTCCGATATGGCCTGGAGATTTTGAGTTACTATATAAGTATGAAACATATAATAACAGCTACAAAGAATCACTATCAGGATCTGGTTGTCCGATATGGCCTGGAGATTTTGAGTTACTATATAAGTATGAAACATATAATAACAGCTACAAAGAATCACTATCAGGATCTGGTTGTCCGATATGGCCTGGAGATTTTGAGTTACTATATAAGTATGAAACATATAATAACAGCTACAAAGAATCACTATCAGGATCTGGTTGTCCGATATGGCCTGGAGATTTTGAGTTACTATATAAGTATGAAACATATAATAACAGCTACAAAGAATCACTATCAGGATCTGGTTGTCCGATATGGCCTGGAGATTTTGAGTTACTATATAAGTATGAAACATATAATAACAGCTACAAAGAATCACTATCAGGATCTGGTTGTCCGATATGGCCTGGAGATTTTGAGTTACTATATAAGTATGAAACATATAATAACAGCTACAAAGAATCACTATCAGGATCTGGTTGTCCGATATGGCCTGGAGATTTTGAGTTACTATATAAGTATGAAACATATAATAACAGCTACAAAGAATCACTATCAGGATCTGGTTGTCCGATATGGCCTGGAGATTTTGAGTTACTATATAAGTATGAAACATATAATAACAGCTACAAAGAATCACTATCAGGATCTGGTTGTCCGATATGGCCTGGAGATTTTGAGTTACTATATAAGTATGAAACATATAATAACAGCTACAAAGAATCACTATCAGGATCTGGTTGTCCGATATGGCCTGGAGATTTTGAGTTACTATATAAGTATGAAACATATAATAACAGCTACAAAGAATCACTATCAGGATCTGGTTGTCCGATATGGCCTGGAGATTTTGAGTTACTATATAAGTATGAAACATATAATAACAGCTACAAAGAATCACTATCAGGATCTGGTTGTCCGATATGGCCTGGAGATTTTGAGTTACTATATAAGTATGAAACATATAATAACAGCTACAAAGAATCACTATCAGGATCTGGTTGTCCGATATGGCCTGGAGATTTTGAGTTACTATATAAGTATGAAACATATAATAACAGCTACAAAGAATCACTATCAGGATCTGGTTGTCCGATATGGCCTGGAGATTTTGAGTTACTATATAAGTATGAAACATATAATAACAGCTACAAAGAATCACTATCAGGATCTGGTTGTCCGATATGGCCTGGAGATTTTGAGTTACTATATAAGTATGAAACATATAATAACAGCTACAAAGAATCACTATCAGGATCTGGTTGTCCGATATGGCCTGGAGATTTTGAGTTACTATATAAGTATGAAACATATAATAACAGCTACAAAGAATCACTATCAGGATCTGGTTGTCCGATATGGCCTGGAGATTTTGAGTTACTATATAAGTATGAAACATATAATAACAGCTACAAAGAATCACTATCAGGATCTGGTTGTCCGATATGGCCTGGAGATTTTGAGTTACTATATAAGTATGAAACATATAATAACAGCTACAAAGAATCACTATCAGGATCTGGTTGTCCGATATGGCCTGGAGATTTTGAGTTACTATATAAGTATGAAACATATAATAACAGCTACAAAGAATCACTATCAGGATCTGGTTGTCCGATATGGCCTGGAGATTTTGAGTTACTATATAAGTATGAAACATATAATAACAGCTACAAAGAATCACTATCAGGATCTGGTTGTCCGATATGGCCTGGAGATTTTGAGTTACTATATAAGTATGAAACATATAATAACAGCTACAAAGAATCACTATCAGGATCTGGTTGTCCGATATGGCCTGGAGATTTTGAGTTACTATATAAGTATGAAACATATAATAACAGCTACAAAGAATCACTATCAGGATCTGGTTGTCCGATATGGCCTGGAGATTTTGAGTTACTATATAAGTATGAAACATATAATAACAGCTACAAAGAATCACTATCAGGATCTGGTTGTCCGATATGGCCTGGAGATTTTGAGTTACTATATAAGTATGAAACATATAATAACAGCTACAAAGAATCACTATCAGGATCTGGTTGTCCGATATGGCCTGGAGATTTTGAGTTACTATATAAGTATGAAACATATAATAACAGCTACAAAGAATCACTATCAGGATCTGGTTGTCCGATATGGCCTGGAGATTTTGAGTTACTATATAAGTATGAAACATATAATAACAGCTACAAAGAATCACTATCAGGATCTGGTTGTCCGATATGGCCTGGAGATTTTGAGTTACTATATAAGTATGAAACATATAATAACAGCTACAAAGAATCACTATCAGGATCTGGTTGTCCGATATGGCCTGGAGATTTTGAGTTACTATATAAGTATGAAACATATAATAACAGCTACAAAGAATCACTATCAGGATCTGGTTGTCCGATATGGCCTGGAGATTTTGAGTTACTATATAAGTATGAAACATATAATAACAGCTACAAAGAATCACTATCAGGATCTGGTTGTCCGATATGGCCTGGAGATTTTGAGTTACTATATAAGTATGAAACATATAATAACAGCTACAAAGAATCACTATCAGGATCTGGTTGTCCGATATGGCCTGGAGATTTTGAGTTACTATATAAGTATGAAACATATAATAACAGCTACAAAGAATCACTATCAGGATCTGGTTGTCCGATATGGCCTGGAGATTTTGAGTTACTATATAAGTATGAAACATATAATAACAGCTACAAAGAATCACTATCAGGATCTGGTTGTCCGATATGGCCTGGAGATTTTGAGTTACTATATAAGTATGAAACATATAATAACAGCTACAAAGAATCACTATCAGGATCTGGTTGTCCGATATGGCCTGGAGATTTTGAGTTACTATATAAGTATGAAACATATAATAACAGCTACAAAGAATCACTATCAGGATCTGGTTGTCCGATATGGCCTGGAGATTTTGAGTTACTATATAAGTATGAAACATATAATAACAGCTACAAAGAATCACTATCAGGATCTGGTTGTCCGATATGGCCTGGAGATTTTGAGTTACTATATAAGTATGAAACATATAATAACAGCTACAAAGAATCACTATCAGGATCTGGTTGTCCGATATGGCCTGGAGATTTTGAGTTACTATATAAGTATGAAACATATAATAACAGCTACAAAGAATCACTATCAGGATCTGGTTGTCCGATATGGCCTGGAGATTTTGAGTTACTATATAAGTATGAAACATATAATAACAGCTACAAAGAATCACTATCAGGATCTGGTTGTCCGATATGGCCTGGAGATTTTGAGTTACTATATAAGTATGAAACATATAATAACAGCTACAAAGAATCACTATCAGGATCTGGTTGTCCGATATGGCCTGGAGATTTTGAGTTACTATATAAGTATGAAACATATAATAACAGCTACAAAGAATCACTATCAGGATCTGGTTGTCCGATATGGCCTGGAGATTTTGAGTTACTATATAAGTATGAAACATATAATAACAGCTACAAAGAATCACTATCAGGATCTGGTTGTCCGATATGGCCTGGAGATTTTGAGTTACTATATAAGTATGAAACATATAATAACAGCTACAAAGAATCACTATCAGGATCTGGTTGTCCGATATGGCCTGGAGATTTTGAGTTACTATATAAGTATGAAACATATAATAACAGCTACAAAGAATCACTATCAGGATCTGGTTGTCCGATATGGCCTGGAGATTTTGAGTTACTATATAAGTATGAAACATATAATAACAGCTACAAAGAATCACTATCAGGATCTGGTTGTCCGATATGGCCTGGAGATTTTGAGTTACTATATAAGTATGAAACATATAATAACAGCTACAAAGAATCACTATCAGGATCTGGTTGTCCGATATGGCCTGGAGATTTTGAGTTACTATATAAGTATGAAACATATAATAACAGCTACAAAGAATCACTATCAGGATCTGGTTGTCCGATATGGCCTGGAGATTTTGAGTTACTATATAAGTATGAAACATATAATAACAGCTACAAAGAATCACTATCAGGATCTGGTTGTCCGATATGGCCTGGAGATTTTGAGTTACTATATAAGTATGAAACATATAATAACAGCTACAAAGAATCACTATCAGGATCTGGTTGTCCGATATGGCCTGGAGATTTTGAGTTACTATATAAGTATGAAACATATAATAACAGCTACAAAGAATCACTATCAGGATCTGGTTGTCCGATATGGCCTGGAGATTTTGAGTTACTATATAAGTATGAAACATATAATAACAGCTACAAAGAATCACTATCAGGATCTGGTTGTCCGATATGGCCTGGAGATTTTGAGTTACTATATAAGTATGAAACATATAATAACAGCTACAAAGAATCACTATCAGGATCTGGTTGTCCGATATGGCCTGGAGATTTTGAGTTACTATATAAGTATGAAACATATAATAACAGCTACAAAGAATCACTATCAGGATCTGGTTGTCCGATATGGCCTGGAGATTTTGAGTTACTATATAAGTATGAAACATATAATAACAGCTACAAAGAATCACTATCAGGATCTGGTTGTCCGATATGGCCTGGAGATTTTGAGTTACTATATAAGTATGAAACATATAATAACAGCTACAAAGAATCACTATCAGGATCTGGTTGTCCGATATGGCCTGGAGATTTTGAGTTACTATATAAGTATGAAACATATAATAACAGCTACAAAGAATCACTATCAGGATCTGGTTGTCCGATATGGCCTGGAGATTTTGAGTTACTATATAAGTATGAAACATATAATAACAGCTACAAAGAATCACTATCAGGATCTGGTTGTCCGATATGGCCTGGAGATTTTGAGTTACTATATAAGTATGAAACATATAATAACAGCTACAAAGAATCACTATCAGGATCTGGTTGTCCGATATGGCCTGGAGATTTTGAGTTACTATATAAGTATGAAACATATAATAACAGCTACAAAGAATCACTATCAGGATCTGGTTGTCCGATATGGCCTGGAGATTTTGAGTTACTATATAAGTATGAAACATATAATAACAGCTACAAAGAATCACTATCAGGATCTGGTTGTCCGATATGGCCTGGAGATTTTGAGTTACTATATAAGTATGAAACATATAATAACAGCTACAAAGAATCACTATCAGGATCTGGTTGTCCGATATGGCCTGGAGATTTTGAGTTACTATATAAGTATGAAACATATAATAACAGCTACAAAGAATCACTATCAGGATCTGGTTGTCCGATATGGCCTGGAGATTTTGAGTTACTATATAAGTATGAAACATATAATAACAGCTACAAAGAATCACTATCAGGATCTGGTTGTCCGATATGGCCTGGAGATTTTGAGTTACTATATAAGTATGAAACATATAATAACAGCTACAAAGAATCACTATCAGGATCTGGTTGTCCGATATGGCCTGGAGATTTTGAGTTACTATATAAGTATGAAACATATAATAACAGCTACAAAGAATCACTATCAGGATCTGGTTGTCCGATATGGCCTGGAGATTTTGAGTTACTATATAAGTATGAAACATATAATAACAGCTACAAAGAATCACTATCAGGATCTGGTTGTCCGATATGGCCTGGAGATTTTGAGTTACTATATAAGTATGAAACATATAATAACAGCTACAAAGAATCACTATCAGGATCTGGTTGTCCGATATGGCCTGGAGATTTTGAGTTACTATATAAGTATGAAACATATAATAACAGCTACAAAGAATCACTATCAGGATCTGGTTGTCCGATATGGCCTGGAGATTTTGAGTTACTATATAAGTATGAAACATATAATAACAGCTACAAAGAATCACTATCAGGATCTGGTTGTCCGATATGGCCTGGAGATTTTGAGTTACTATATAAGTATGAAACATATAATAACAGCTACAAAGAATCACTATCAGGATCTGGTTGTCCGATATGGCCTGGAGATTTTGAGTTACTATATAAGTATGAAACATATAATAACAGCTACAAAGAATCACTATCAGGATCTGGTTGTCCGATATGGCCTGGAGATTTTGAGTTACTATATAAGTATGAAACATATAATAACAGCTACAAAGAATCACTATCAGGATCTGGTTGTCCGATATGGCCTGGAGATTTTGAGTTACTATATAAGTATGAAACATATAATAACAGCTACAAAGAATCACTATCAGGATCTGGTTGTCCGATATGGCCTGGAGATTTTGAGTTACTATATAAGTATGAAACATATAATAACAGCTACAAAGAATCACTATCAGGATCTGGTTGTCCGATATGGCCTGGAGATTTTGAGTTACTATATAAGTATGAAACATATAATAACAGCTACAAAGAATCACTATCAGGATCTGGTTGTCCGATATGGCCTGGAGATTTTGAGTTACTATATAAGTATGAAACATATAATAACAGCTACAAAGAATCACTATCAGGATCTGGTTGTCCGATATGGCCTGGAGATTTTGAGTTACTATATAAGTATGAAACATATAATAACAGCTACAAAGAATCACTATCAGGATCTGGTTGTCCGATATGGCCTGGAGATTTTGAGTTACTATATAAGTATGAAACATATAATAACAGCTACAAAGAATCACTATCAGGATCTGGTTGTCCGATATGGCCTGGAGATTTTGAGTTACTATATAAGTATGAAACATATAATAACAGCTACAAAGAATCACTATCAGGATCTGGTTGTCCGATATGGCCTGGAGATTTTGAGTTACTATATAAGTATGAAACATATAATAACAGCTACAAAGAATCACTATCAGGATCTGGTTGTCCGATATGGCCTGGAGATTTTGAGTTACTATATAAGTATGAAACATATAATAACAGCTACAAAGAATCACTATCAGGATCTGGTTGTCCGATATGGCCTGGAGATTTTGAGTTACTATATAAGTATGAAACATATAATAACAGCTACAAAGAATCACTATCAGGATCTGGTTGTCCGATATGGCCTGGAGATTTTGAGTTACTATATAAGTATGAAACATATAATAACAGCTACAAAGAATCACTATCAGGATCTGGTTGTCCGATATGGCCTGGAGATTTTGAGTTACTATATAAGTATGAAACATATAATAACAGCTACAAAGAATCACTATCAGGATCTGGTTGTCCGATATGGCCTGGAGATTTTGAGTTACTATATAAGTATGAAACATATAATAACAGCTACAAAGAATCACTATCAGGATCTGGTTGTCCGATATGGCCTGGAGATTTTGAGTTACTATATAAGTATGAAACATATAATAACAGCTACAAAGAATCACTATCAGGATCTGGTTGTCCGATATGGCCTGGAGATTTTGAGTTACTATATAAGTATGAAACATATAATAACAGCTACAAAGAATCACTATCAGGATCTGGTTGTCCGATATGGCCTGGAGATTTTGAGTTACTATATAAGTATGAAACATATAATAACAGCTACAAAGAATCACTATCAGGATCTGGTTGTCCGATATGGCCTGGAGATTTTGAGTTACTATATAAGTATGAAACATATAATAACAGCTACAAAGAATCACTATCAGGATCTGGTTGTCCGATATGGCCTGGAGATTTTGAGTTACTATATAAGTATGAAACATATAATAACAGCTACAAAGAATCACTATCAGGATCTGGTTGTCCGATATGGCCTGGAGATTTTGAGTTACTATATAAGTATGAAACATATAATAACAGCTACAAAGAATCACTATCAGGATCTGGTTGTCCGATATGGCCTGGAGATTTTGAGTTACTATATAAGTATGAAACATATAATAACAGCTACAAAGAATCACTATCAGGATCTGGTTGTCCGATATGGCCTGGAGATTTTGAGTTACTATATAAGTATGAAACATATAATAACAGCTACAAAGAATCACTATCAGGATCTGGTTGTCCGATATGGCCTGGAGATTTTGAGTTACTATATAAGTATGAAACATATAATAACAGCTACAAAGAATCACTATCAGGATCTGGTTGTCCGATATGGCCTGGAGATTTTGAGTTACTATATAAGTATGAAACATATAATAACAGCTACAAAGAATCACTATCAGGATCTGGTTGTCCGATATGGCCTGGAGATTTTGAGTTACTATATAAGTATGAAACATATAATAACAGCTACAAAGAATCACTATCAGGATCTGGTTGTCCGATATGGCCTGGAGATTTTGAGTTACTATATAAGTATGAAACATATAATAACAGCTACAAAGAATCACTATCAGGATCTGGTTGTCCGATATGGCCTGGAGATTTTGAGTTACTATATAAGTATGAAACATATAATAACAGCTACAAAGAATCACTATCAGGATCTGGTTGTCCGATATGGCCTGGAGATTTTGAGTTACTATATAAGTATGAAACATATAATAACAGCTACAAAGAATCACTATCAGGATCTGGTTGTCCGATATGGCCTGGAGATTTTGAGTTACTATATAAGTATGAAACATATAATAACAGCTACAAAGAATCACTATCAGGATCTGGTTGTCCGATATGGCCTGGAGATTTTGAGTTACTATATAAGTATGAAACATATAATAACAGCTACAAAGAATCACTATCAGGATCTGGTTGTCCGATATGGCCTGGAGATTTTGAGTTACTATATAAGTATGAAACATATAATAACAGCTACAAAGAATCACTATCAGGATCTGGTTGTCCGATATGGCCTGGAGATTTTGAGTTACTATATAAGTATGAAACATATAATAACAGCTACAAAGAATCACTATCAGGATCTGGTTGTCCGATATGGCCTGGAGATTTTGAGTTACTATATAAGTATGAAACATATAATAACAGCTACAAAGAATCACTATCAGGATCTGGTTGTCCGATATGGCCTGGAGATTTTGAGTTACTATATAAGTATGAAACATATAATAACAGCTACAAAGAATCACTATCAGGATCTGGTTGTCCGATATGGCCTGGAGATTTTGAGTTACTATATAAGTATGAAACATATAATAACAGCTACAAAGAATCACTATCAGGATCTGGTTGTCCGATATGGCCTGGAGATTTTGAGTTACTATATAAGTATGAAACATATAATAACAGCTACAAAGAATCACTATCAGGATCTGGTTGTCCGATATGGCCTGGAGATTTTGAGTTACTATATAAGTATGAAACATATAATAACAGCTACAAAGAATCACTATCAGGATCTGGTTGTCCGATATGGCCTGGAGATTTTGAGTTACTATATAAGTATGAAACATATAATAACAGCTACAAAGAATCACTATCAGGATCTGGTTGTCCGATATGGCCTGGAGATTTTGAGTTACTATATAAGTATGAAACATATAATAACAGCTACAAAGAATCACTATCAGGATCTGGTTGTCCGATATGGCCTGGAGATTTTGAGTTACTATATAAGTATGAAACATATAATAACAGCTACAAAGAATCACTATCAGGATCTGGTTGTCCGATATGGCCTGGAGATTTTGAGTTACTATATAAGTATGAAACATATAATAACAGCTACAAAGAATCACTATCAGGATCTGGTTGTCCGATATGGCCTGGAGATTTTGAGTTACTATATAAGTATGAAACATATAATAACAGCTACAAAGAATCACTATCAGGATCTGGTTGTCCGATATGGCCTGGAGATTTTGAGTTACTATATAAGTATGAAACATATAATAACAGCTACAAAGAATCACTATCAGGATCTGGTTGTCCGATATGGCCTGGAGATTTTGAGTTACTATATAAGTATGAAACATATAAGATCTTGTTTTGTACCGATATGGCCTGGAGATTTTGAGTTACGATATAGATTATGAAACATAATAATGACATCTACAAAGAATCACTATCAGTATCTGGTTGTCCGATATGGCCTGGATGATTTTGAGTTACTATATAAGGTATGAAACATATAATAAACAGCTACAAAGAATCACTATCAGGATCTGGTTTGTCCGATATGGCTGGAGATTTTGAGTTACTATATAAGTATAAACATATAATGAACAGCTACAAAGAATCACTATCTATCAGGATCTGGTTGTCCGATATGGCCTGGAGATTTTGAGTTACTATATAAGTATGAAACATATAATAACAGCTACACAAGAATCACTATCAGGATCTGGTTGTCCGATATGGCCTGGAGATTTTGAGTTACTATATAAGTATGAAACATATAATAACAGCTACAAAGAATCACTATCAGGATCTGGTTGTCCGATATGGCCTGGAGATTTTGAGTTACTATATAAGTATGAAACATATAATAACAGCTACAAAGAATCACTATCAGGATCTGGTTTGTCCGATATGGCCTGGAGATTTTGAGTTACTATATAAGTATGAAACATATAATAACAGCTACAAAGAATCACTATCAGGATCTGGTTGTCCGATATGGCCTGGAGATTTTGAGTTACTATATAAGTATGAAACATATAATAACAGCTACAAAGAATCACTATCAGGATCTGGTTGTCCGATATGGCCTGGAGATTTTTGAGTTACTATATAAGTATGAAACATATAATAACAGCTACAAAGAATCACTATCAGGATCTGGTTGTCCGATATGGCCTGGAGATTTTGAGTTACTATATAAGTATGAAACATATAATAACAGCTACAAAGAATCACTATCAGGATCTGGTTGTCCGATATGGCCTGGAGATTTTGAGTTACTATATAAGTATGAAACATATAATAACAGCTACAAAGAATCACTATCAGGATCTGGTTGTCCGATATGGCCTGGAGATTTTGAGTTACTATATAAGTATGAAACATATAATAACAGCTACAAAGAATCACTATCAGGATCTGGTTGTCCGATATGGCCTGGAGATTTTGAGTTACTATATAAGTATGAAACATATAATAACAGCTACAAAGAAATCACTATCAGGATCTGGTTGTCCGATATGGCCTGGAGATTTTGAGTTACTATATAAGTATGAAACATATAATAACAGCTACAAAGAATCACTATCAGGATCTGGTTGTCCGATATGGCCTGGAGATTTTGAGTTACTATATAAGTATGAAACATATAATAACAGCTACAAAGAATCACTATCAGGATCTGGTTGTCCGATATGGCCTGGAGATTTTGAGTTACTATATAAGTATGAAACATATAATAACAGCTACAAAGAATCACTATCAGGATCTGGTTGTCCGATATGGCCTGGAGATTTTGAGTTACTATATAAGTATGAAACATATAATAACAGCTACAAAGAATCACTATCAGGATCTGGTTGTCCGATATGGCCTGGAGATTTTGAGTTTACTATATAAGTATGAAACATATAATAACAGCTACAAAGAATCACTATCAGGATCTGGTTGTCCGATATGGCCTGGAGATTTTGAGTTACTATATAAGTATGAAACATATAATAACAGCTACAAAGAATCACTATCAGGATCTGGTTGTCCGATATGGCCTGGAGATTTTGAGTTACTATATAAGTATGAAACATATAATAACAGCTACAAAGAATCACTATCAGGATCTGGTTGTCCGATATGGCCTGGAGATTTTGAGTTACTATATAAGTATGAAACATATAATAACAGCTACAAAGAATCACTATCAGGATCTGGTTGTCCGATATGGCCTGGAGATTTTGAGTTACTATATAAGTATGAAACATATAATAACAGCTACAAAGAATCACTATCAGGATCTGGTTGTCCGATATGGCCTGGAGATTTTGAGTTACTATATAAGTATGAAACATATAATAACAGCTACAAAGAATCACTATCAGGATCTGGTTGTCCGATATGGCCTGGAGATTTTGAGTTACTAATATAAGTATGAAACATATAATAACAGCTACAAAGAATCACTATCAGGATCTGGTTGTCCGATATGGCCTGGAGATTTTGAGTTACTATATAAGTATGAAACATATAATAACAGCTACAAAGAATCACTATCAGGATCTGGTTGTCCGATATGGCCTGGAGATTTTGAGTTACTATATAAGTATGAAACATATAATAACAGCTACAAAGAATCACTATCAGGATCTGGTTGTCCGATATGGCCTGGAGATTTTGAGTTACTATATAAGTATGAAACATATAATAACAGCTACAAAGAATCACTATCAGGATCTGGTTGTCCGATATGGCCTGGAGATTTTGAGTTACTATATAAGTATGAAACATATCAAATAACAGCTACAAAGAATCACTATCAGGATCTGGTTTGTCCGATATGGCCTGGAGATTTTGAGTTACTATATAAGTATGAAACATATAATAACAGCTACAAAGAATCACTATCAGGATCTGGTTGTCCGATATGGCCTGGAGATTTTGAGTTACTATATAAGTATGAAACATATAATAACAGCTACAAAGAATCACTATCAGGATCTGGTTGTCCGATATGGCCTTGAGATTTTGAGTTACTATATAAGTATGAAACATATAATAAACAGCTACAAGAATCACTATCAGGATCTGGTTGTCCGATATGGCCTGGAGATTTTGAGTTACTATATAAGTATGAAACATATAATAACAGCTACAAAGAATCACTATCAGGATCTGGTTGTCCGATATGGCCTGGAGATTTTGAGTTACTATATAAGTATGAAACATATAATAACAGCTACAAAGAATCACTATCAGGATCTGGTTGTCCGATATGGCCTGGAGATTTTGAGTTACTATATAAGTATGAAAACATATAATAACAGCTACAAAGAATCACTATCAGGATCTGGTTGTCCGATATGGCCTGGAGATTTTGAGTTACTATATAAGTATGAAACATATAATAACAGCTACAAAGAATCACTATCAGGATCTGGTTGTCCGATATGGCCTGGAGATTTTGAGTTACTATATAAGTATGAAACATATAATAACAGCTACAAAGAATCACTATCAGGATCTGGTTGTCCGATATGGCCTGGAGATTTTGAGTTACTATATAAGTATGAAACATATAATAACAGCTACAAAGAATCACTATCAGGATCTGGTTGTCCGATATGGCCTGGAGATTTTGAGTTACTATATAAGTATGAAACATATAATAACAGCTACAAAGAATCACTATCAGGATCTGGTTGTCCGATATGGCCTGGAGATTTTGAGTTACTATATAAGTATGAAACATATAATAACAGCTACAAAGAATCACTATCAGGATCTGGTTGTCCGATATGGCCTGGAGATTTTGAGTTACTATATAAGTATGAAACATATAATAACAGCTACAAAGAATCACTATCAGGATCTGGTTGTCCGATATGGCCTGGAGATTTTGAGTTACTATATAAGTATGAAACATATAATAACAGCTACAAAGAATCACTATCAGGATCTGGTTGTCCGATATGGCCTGGAGATTTTGAGTTACTATATAAGTATGAAACATATAATAACAGCTACAAAGAATCACTATCAGGATCTGGTTGTCCGATATGGCCTGGAGATTTTGAGTTACTATATAAGTATGAAACATATAATAACAGCTACAAAGAATCACTATCAGGATCTGGTTGTCCGATATGGCCTGGAGATTTTTGAGTTACTATATAAGTATGAAACATATAATAACAGCTACAAAGAATCACTATCAGGATCTGGTTGTCCGATATGGCCTGGAGATTTTGAGTTACTATATAAGTATGAAACATATAATAACAGCTACAAAGAATCACTATCAGGATCTGGTTGTCCGATATGGCCTGGAGATTTTGAGTTACTATATAAGTATGAAACATATAATAACAGCTACAAAGAATCACTATCAGGATCTGGTTGTCCGATATGGCCTGGAGATTTTGAGTTACTATATAAGTATGAAACATATAATAACAGCTACAAAGAATCACTATCAGGATCTGGTTGTCCGATATGGCCTGGAGATTTTGAGTTACTATATAAGTATGAAACATATAATAACAGCTACAAAGAATCACTATCAGGATCTGGTTGTCCGATATGGCCTGGAGATTTTGAGTTACTATATAAGTATGAAACATATAATAACAGCTACAAAGAATCACTATCAGGATCTGGTTGTCCGATATGGCCTGGAGATTTTGAGTTACTATATAAGTATGAAACATATAATAACAGCTACAAAGAATCACTATCAGGATCTGGTTGTCCGATATGGCCTGGAGATTTTGAGTTACTATATAAGTATGAAACATATAATAACAGCTACAAAGAATCACTATCAGGATCTGGTTGTCCGATATGGCCTGGAGATTTTGAGTTACTATATAAGTATGAAACATATAATAACAGCTACAAAGAATCACTATCAGGATCTGGTTGTCCGATATGGCCTGGAGATTTTGAGTTACTATATAAGTATGAAACATATAATAACAGCTACAAAGAATCACTATCAGGATCTGGTTGTCCGATATGGCCTGGAGATTTTGAGTTACTATATAAGTATGAAACATATAATAACAGCTACAAAGAATCACTATCAGGATCTGGTTGTCCGATATGGCCTGGAGATTTTGAGTTACTATATAAGTATGAAACATATAATAACAGCTACAAAGAATCACTATCAGGATCTGGTTGTCCGATATGGCCTGGAGATTTTGAGTTACTATATAAGTATGAAACATATAATAACAGCTACAAAGAATCACTATCAGGATCTGGTTGTCCGATATGGCCTGGAGATTTTGAGTTACTATATAAGTATGAAACATATAATAACAGCTACAAAGAATCACTATCAGGATCTGGTTGTCCGATATGGCCTGGAGATTTTGAGTTACTATATAAGTATGAAACATATAATAACAGCTACAAAGAATCACTATCAGGATCTGGTTGTCCGATATGGCCTGGAGATTTTGAGTTACTATATAAGTATGAAACATATAATAACAGCTACAAAGAATCACTATCAGGATCTGGTTGTCCGATATGGCCTGGAGATTTTGAGTTACTATATAAGTATGAAACATATAATAACAGCTACAAAGAATCACTATCAGGATCTGGCTGTCCGATATGGCCTGGAGATTTTGAGTTACTATATAAGTATGAAACATATAATAACAGCTACAAAGAATCACTATCAGGATCTGGCTGTCCGATATGGCCTGGAGATTTTGAGTTACTATATAAGTATGAAACATATAATAACAGCTACAAAGAATCACTATCAGGATCTGGCTGTCCGATATGGCCTGGAGATTTTGAGTTACTATATAAGTATGAAACATATAATAACAGCTACAAAGAATCACTATCAGGATCTGGCTGTCCGATATGGCCTGGAGATTTTGAGTTACTATATAAGTATGAAACATATAATAACAGCTACAAAGAATCACTATCAGGATCTGGCTGTCCGATATGGCCTGGAGATTTTGAGTTACTATATAAGTATGAAACATATAATAACAGCTACAAAGAATCACTATCAGGATCTGGCTGTCCGATATGGCCTGGAGATTTTGAGTTACTATATAAGTATGAAACATATAATAACAGCTACAAAGAATCACTATCAGGATCTGGCTGTCCGATATGGCCTGGAGATTTTGAGTTACTATATAAGTATGAAACATATAATAACAGCTACAAAGAATCACTATCAGGATCTGGTTGTCCGATATGGCCTGGAGATTTTGAGTTACTATATAAGTATGAAACATATAATAACAGCTACAAAGAATCACTATCAGGATCTGGTTGTCCGATATGGCCTGGAGATTTTGAGTTACTATATAAGTATGAAACATATAATAACAGCTACAAAGAATCACTATCAGGATCTGGTTGTCCGATATGGCCTGGAGATTTTGAGTTACTATATAAGTATGAAACATATAATAACAGCTACAAAGAATCACTATCAGGATCTGGTTGTCCGATATGGCCTGGAGATTTTGAGTTACTATATAAGTATGAAACATATAATAACAGCTACAAAGAATCACTATCAGGATCTGGCTGTCCGATATGGCCTGGAGATTTTGAGTTACTATATAAGTATGAAACATATAATAACAGCTACAAAGAATCACTATCAGGATCTGGCTGTCCGATATGGCCTGGAGATTTTGAGTTACTATATAAGTATGAAACATATAATAACAGCTACAAAGAATCACTATCAGGATCTGGCTGTCCGATATGGCCTGGAGATTTTGAGTTACTATATAAGTATGAAACATATAATAACAGCTACAAAGAATCACTATCAGGATCTGGCTGTCCGATATGGCCTGGAGATTTTGAGTTACTATATAAGTATGAAACATATAATAACAGCTACAAAGAATCACTATCAGGATCTGGCTGTCCGATATGGCCTGGAGATTTTGAGTTACTATATAAGTATGAAACATATAATAACAGCTACAAAGAATCACTATCAGGATCTGGCTGTCCGATATGGCCTGGAGATTTTGAGTTACTATATAAGTATGAAACATATAATAACAGCTACAAAGAATCACTATCAGGATCTGGCTGTCCGATATGGCCTGGAGATTTTGAGTTACTATATAAGTATGAAACATATAATAACAGCTACAAAGAATCACTATCAGGATCTGGTTGTCCGATATGGCCTGGAGATTTTGAGTTACTATATAAGTATGAAACATATAATAACAGCTACAAAGAATCACTATCAGGATCTGGTTGTCCGATATGGCCTGGAGATTTTGAGTTACTATATAAGTATGAAACATATAATAACAGCTACAAAGAATCACTATCAGGATCTGGTTGTCCGATATGGCCTGGAGATTTTGAGTTACTATATAAGTATGAAACATATAATAACAGCTACAAAGAATCACTATCAGGATCTGGTTGTCCGATATGGCCTGGAGATTTTGAGTTACTATATAAGTATGAAACATATAATAACAGCTACAAAGAATCACTATCAGGATCTGGTTGTCCGATATGGCCTGGAGATTTTGAGTTACTATATAAGTATGAAACATATAATAACAGCTACAAAGAATCACTATCAGGATCTGGTTGTCCGATATGGCCTGGAGATTTTGAGTTACTATATAAGTATGAAACATATAATAACAGCTACAAAGAATCACTATCAGGATCTGGTTGTCCGATATGGCCTGGAGATTTTGAGTTACTATATAAGTATGAAACATATAATAACAGCTACAAAGAATCACTATCAGGATCTGGTTGTCCGATATGGCCTGGAGATTTTGAGTTACTATATAAGTATGAAACATATAATAACAGCTACAAAGAATCACTATCAGGATCTGGTTGTCCGATATGGCCTGGAGATTTTGAGTTACTATATAAGTATGAAACATTTTTTTTTTTTTTTTTTTTTTTTTTATATCATAGGGGGCAAACGAGCGGGCGAGCCATCTGGTGAGAGATAGTCATCGCCGCCCATAAACACTCGAGGAGCCAGAAGGCGCCCGAGTGCGTTGCCGGCCTTTCAAAAATAGGTACGCTCTCTTCTTGAAACACCCTAAGTCGTAATGGATAGGGAATACGTCGCGAGGCAGCTGATTCCACAGGGTGGTGGTGCGTGGCAGAAAATTTCTTTTGAAGCGCACTGTGGTTGACTGCCAGCTGTCAAGGTGGTGCGGATGGTATTGCAACCTGTGACGTGCAGTGCGGTGGTGGAATTCAGCTGCCGGCAGTAGCCCAAAGAGCTCCTCAGAGCATTCCCCATAGTAAAGGCGGTAGAAGACGCTGAGAGAGGCAACGTCTCTCCGCAGGGCTAAAGTATCAAGCCGATTGGTAAGATCGGTATCGTCGACCATTCGAGTTGCACGACGTTGGATTCGGTCAAAAGGAAGAAGTTGGCACTGGGGCGCTCCAGCCCAGAGGTGAGAGCAGTACTCCATGTGAGGTCTAACCTGCGCCTTATACAGCGTCAGGCGTTGACCCGAAGTGAAGTACCGCCCCGCTCTGCGAAGTACGCCAAGTTTTTGAGATGCCAACCTGGCCTTATCTTCCAAGTGACTACGAAACTGTACATCACTCGAAATGGTGACACCCAGAATACCAATACTGGCTGTGGGTTTAAGGGAATTGCCCTGGAACCGACCGGCTGTTACGACAAAGGGTGTTCTTTTCGCGGTGAACGCGCAGACTTGTGTCTTAGTTGGGTTAAATGTAACCAGATTGGTTTGTCCCCAGGATGACACTTGATCGAGTAGAGACTCGATGCTAGACACAAGTCTACTTCGACACTCAGCGACATGGTCCTGAGAAAGTGTGCGTTCTCCGGTATAGAGCGTATCACCAGTGCTGTCATCTGCATAGCAATGAATATTGCCGACTTGCAGCAAGTCATTGATATGCAGTAGGAACAGAGTGGGAGACAAAACGCAGCCTTGTGGGACACCAGCGTTCACGGGCATTAAATTCGAGCACAGACCGTCGATAGCGACCTTTATGCTACGCTCCGTAAGAAAGCTGGCTATCCACTGGCACAATTTCTCAGGAAGCCCATAAGAAGGAAGCTTCGATAGAAGCGCTTTGTGCCAAACCCGATCAAAAGCTTTCGCTACATCCAAACTGACTGCTAAAGCCTCGCCTTTGCTCTCAATAGCCGCGGCCCATCGATGCGTTAAGTATACTAGAAGATCACCAGCTGACCGTCCGTGACGAAAGCCATATTGGCGATCACTGATCAACTGATGTTCCTCTAGATACTCAAGAAGCTGGCGGTTAATGATGGACTCCATTATCTTGGAGAGCAAAGAGGTAATTGCGATGGGTCTGTAGTTGGAGGGATTAGAGCGGTCACCTTTCTTAGGAATCGGGTGCACTAACGCAGTCTTCCAGGATTTTGGGACAACGCCGGCGGAATAGGAGAGCCGGAAGAGACGCGTTAGAACTGGTGCCAGCTCCGGAGCACACGTCCTAAGCACAAGAGGAGGAATACCGTCGGGGCCGCTCGACTTGTTAATGTTCAGAGAGAACAAGGTTTTACGCACAGTTCTTTGTGAAAATTTTACCTCTGGCATAAATCCCTCGACACGCGGGATGGTAGGCGGCGAGTAATCCCTGTCATCTAAAGTCGAGTTACTGGCAAATAGGGAACCGAGTAGATCAGCTTTCTCCTTTGCCGTATGCGCCAACAAGTCCTTCTCCATGCGCAGGGATGGTATAGATGACCTGCAGAAGTTTCCTTGCACAGACTTAGAGAGGGCCCAAAAAGCTCTAGTTCCCGAGGGAAGGCGGGCAAGCTTCTCTCCAAGCCTAGCAATGTACTTTGATTTTGCTCTAGTGATTGCTCTTTTGAAGGATCTGGAGCTAGAGTTGTATTCTGTTTTGAGAATATTGGCGTTAGGACTATTCGATGCAATCGCGTCAACCCAGGCTTGGTAGCAGGCCCTGCTTACGACGTGATGCCGTTCTACAGAGCCGATCAAACCAGGGCTGTGACTTGCCGCCGATGGGTACCACAGAGCTAGGAATAAATAGTTCCATACCCTGAAGCACGACATCAGCGACAGATACGGCACAGACATCAGGGTCATTCTCCTTAAAACAGACTCCATTCCAGGGGTAGGACGCAAAGAAGGTCCGCATCCCATCCCAGTCCGCTGACCTATAGTGCCACACGCGACGACTACCTGCACATCGCGGCCTAGGGGAGCGTGTAATCGGCACTGTACTCCAGATGAGGCAGTGGTCAGAAGAGCCTATAGGGGCATCAACATGCACTTCGTAGCCTTCTGGATGCGAGGTCAGCAGAAGATCCAACAGTGAAGGCGTGTGATCATTCACATCTGGCACCCTCGTAGGCGATGTCACCAATTGAGTGAGATCATTGGCTAGAGCAAAATCGTGAAAAGACCTCCCTGCATGGTCAGTTGTTCTTGACGCAAGCCATTCGGCATGATGAGCATTAAAATCGCCAAGAATGACAATTTCAGTCGAGGGGATCTGTTGGAGAGTTAAATCTGCGGTCATTTGGACTTGCTCAATAAGCCGGTCTGTCTCTGCGTTCCCGCTGTGGGACCTATAAAGACACCCATAGACGCGTGGGTGGTCTTCGCAGTCTACACGTATCCAAACTATAGATAGGTCCGAACCTTCAGTGAAGTCAAGGCGACGGTAGCAGATATCGTCTCGAATGTATACACATACCCCGGCACGAGGCAAAAAATTGTGTTCCATGGAGTAACCAGGGTATCGGAGGTAGGAGATGTCGGCCGGAGACGATATCTGGGTTTCGGTAAGAAATAGAAGGGCCGGCTTGGCCGCCTCGAGATGGTAGTGGACGGCGTTGATATTAGAATGTAGCCCCCTAATGTTACAGAAATCTACTCTGAGCATCCTGCGACCTCGGACAGAGGTATTGAGCGGGGTATTGCCCCCCCCCGAATACGAGGGGCAGCCTGAAACGGAGTTTGCAGGGAGGGATTCTCCGATGCCAATCGCGTCGGTACCCTCCTGGGGTAGTTTATTTTTATACACCGCTACCATTTTGAGAGAGCTTAGGAAGGGAATTGGCTGAAAGGAAGAATGGATACTCCCTCCAACCAATTCAGAAAATGGGCCTCCGGAACTCCCATTTACCGTACGAAACGCAATAGCATCTCTGACGAGATACTATTACTTAACGCCGATTTTCTATGGGAGGGTGGTACCGCCCCGGTGCGAGCCGGCCCAATTAGCCTTACGGCATGGCTCTACCACCTAAACATATAATAACAGCTACAAAGAATCACTATCAGGATCTGGTTGTCCGATATGGCCTGGAGATTTTGAGTTACTATATAAGTATGAAACATATAATAACAGCTACAAAGAATCACTATCAGGATCTGGTTGTCCGATATGGCCTGGAGATTTTGAGTTACTATATAAGTATGAAACATATAATAACAGCTACAAAGAATCACTATCAGGATCTGGTTGTCCGATATGGCCTGGAGATTTTGAGTTACTATATAAGTATGAAACATATAATAACAGCTACAAAGAATCACTATCAGGATCTGGTTGTCCGATATGGCCTGGAGATTTTGAGTTACTATATAAGTATGAAACATATAATAACAGCTACAAAGAATCACTATCAGGATCTGGTTGTCCGATATGGCCTGGAGATTTTGAGTTACTATATAAGTATGAAACATATAATAACAGCTACAAAGAATCACTATCAGGATCTGGTTGTCCGATATGGCCTGGAGATTTTGAGTTACTATATAAGTATGAAACATATAATAACAGCTACAAAGAATCACTATCAGGATCTGGTTGTCCGATATGGCCTGGAGATTTTGAGTTACTATATAAGTATGAAACATATAATAACAGCTACAAAGAATCACTATCAGGATCTGGTTGTCCGATATGGCCTGGAGATTTTGAGTTACTATATAAGTATGAAACATATAATAACAGCTACAAAGAATCACTATCAGGATCTGGTTGTCCGATATGGCCTGGAGATTTTGAGTTACTATATAAGTATGAAACATATAATAACAGCTACAAAGAATCACTATCAGGATCTGGTTGTCCGATATGGCCTGGAGATTTTGAGTTACTATATAAGTATGAAACATATAATAACAGCTACAAAGAATCACTATCAGGATCTGGTTGTCCGATATGGCCTGGAGATTTTGAGTTACTATATAAGTATGAAACATATAATAACAGCTACAAAGAATCACTATCAGGATCTGGTTGTCCGATATGGCCTGGAGATTTTGAGTTACTATATAAGTATGAAACATATAATAACAGCTACAAAGAATCACTATCAGGATCTGGTTGTCCGATATGGCCTGGAGATTTTGAGTTACTATATAAGTATGAAACATATAATAACAGCTACAAAGAATCACTATCAGGATCTGGTTGTCCGATATGGCCTGGAGATTTTGAGTTACTATATAAGTATGAAACATATAATAACAGCTACAAAGAATCACTATCAGGATCTGGTTGTCCGATATGGCCTGGAGATTTTGAGTTACTATATAAGTATGAAACATATAATAACAGCTACAAAGAATCACTATCAGGATCTGGTTGTCCGATATGGCCTGGAGATTTTGAGTTACTATATAAGTATGAAACATATAATAACAGCTACAAAGAATCACTATCAGGATCTGGTTGTCCGATATGGCCTGGAGATTTTGAGTTACTATATAAGTATGAAACATATAATAACAGCTACAAAGAATCACTATCAGGATCTGGTTGTCCGATATGGCCTGGAGATTTTGAGTTACTATATAAGTATGAAACATATAATAACAGCTACAAAGAATCACTATCAGGATCTGGTTGTCCGATATGGCCTGGAGATTTTGAGTTACTATATAAGTATGAAACATATAATAACAGCTACAAAGAATCACTATCAGGATCTGGTTGTCCGATATGGCCTGGAGATTTTGAGTTACTATATAAGTATGAAACATATAATAACAGCTACAAAGAATCACTATCAGGATCTGGTTGTCCGATATGGCCTGGAGATTTTGAGTTACTATATAAGTATGAAACATATAATAACAGCTACAAAGAATCACTATCAGGATCTGGTTGTCCGATATGGCCTGGAGATTTTGAGTTACTATATAAGTATGAAACATATAATAACAGCTACAAAGAATCACTATCAGGATCTGGTTGTCCGATATGGCCTGGAGATTTTGAGTTACTATATAAGTATGAAACATATAATAACAGCTACAAAGAATCACTATCAGGATCTGGTTGTCCGATATGGCCTGGAGATTTTGAGTTACTATATAAGTATGAAACATATAATAACAGCTACAAAGAATCACTATCAGGATCTGGTTGTCCGATATGGCCTGGAGATTTTGAGTTACTATATAAGTATGAAACATATAATAACAGCTACAAAGAATCACTATCAGGATCTGGTTGTCCGATATGGCCTGGAGATTTTGAGTTACTATATAAGTATGAAACATATAATAACAGCTACAAAGAATCACTATCAGGATCTGGTTGTCCGATATGGCCTGGAGATTTTGAGTTACTATATAAGTATGAAACATATAATAACAGCTACAAAGAATCACTATCAGGATCTGGTTGTCCGATATGGCCTGGAGATTTTGAGTTACTATATAAGTATGAAACATATAATAACAGCTACAAAGAATCACTATCAGGATCTGGTTGTCCGATATGGCCTGGAGATTTTGAGTTACTATATAAGTATGAAACATATAATAACAGCTACAAAGAATCACTATCAGGATCTGGTTGTCCGATATGGCCTGGAGATTTTGAGTTACTATATAAGTATGAAACATATAATAACAGCTACAAAGAATCACTATCAGGATCTGGTTGTCCGATATGGCCTGGAGATTTTGAGTTACTATATAAGTATGAAACATATAATAACAGCTACAAAGAATCACTATCAGGATCTGGTTGTCCGATATGGCCTGGAGATTTTGAGTTACTATATAAGTATGAAACATATAATAACAGCTACAAAGAATCACTATCAGGATCTGGTTGTCCGATATGGCCTGGAGATTTTGAGTTACTATATAAGTATGAAACATATAATAACAGCTACAAAGAATCACTATCAGGATCTGGTTGTCCGATATGGCCTGGAGATTTTGAGTTACTATATAAGTATGAAACATATAATAACAGCTACAAAGAATCACTATCAGGATCTGGTTGTCCGATATGGCCTGGAGATTTTGAGTTACTATATAAGTATGAAACATATAATAACAGCTACAAAGAATCACTATCAGGATCTGGTTGTCCGATATGGCCTGGAGATTTTGAGTTACTATATAAGTATGAAACATATAATAACAGCTACAAAGAATCACTATCAGGATCTGGTTGTCCGATATGGCCTGGAGATTTTGAGTTACTATATAAGTATGAAACATATAATAACAGCTACAAAGAATCACTATCAGGATCTGGTTGTCCGATATGGCCTGGAGATTTTGAGTTACTATATAAGTATGAAACATATAATAACAGCTACAAAGAATCACTATCAGGATCTGGTTGTCCGATATGGCCTGGAGATTTTGAGTTACTATATAAGTATGAAACATATAATAACAGCTACAAAGAATCACTATCAGGATCTGGTTGTCCGATATGGCCTGGAGATTTTGAGTTACTATATAAGTATGAAACATATAATAACAGCTACAAAGAATCACTATCAGGATCTGGTTGTCCGATATGGCCTGGAGATTTTGAGTTACTATATAAGTATGAAACATATAATAACAGCTACAAAGAATCACTATCAGGATCTGGTTGTCCGATATGGCCTGGAGATTTTGAGTTACTATATAAGTATGAAACATATAATAACAGCTACAAAGAATCACTATCAGGATCTGGTTGTCCGATATGGCCTGGAGATTTTGAGTTACTATATAAGTATGAAACATATAATAACAGCTACAAAGAATCACTATCAGGATCTGGTTGTCCGATATGGCCTGGAGATTTTGAGTTACTATATAAGTATGAAACATATAATAACAGCTACAAAGAATCACTATCAGGATCTGGTTGTCCGATATGGCCTGGAGATTTTGAGTTACTATATAAGTATGAAACATATAATAACAGCTACAAAGAATCACTATCAGGATCTGGTTGTCCGATATGGCCTGGAGATTTTGAGTTACTATATAAGTATGAAACATATAATAACAGCTACAAAGAATCACTATCAGGATCTGGTTGTCCGATATGGCCTGGAGATTTTGAGTTACTATATAAGTATGAAACATATAATAACAGCTACAAAGAATCACTATCAGGATCTGGTTGTCCGATATGGCCTGGAGATTTTGAGTTACTATATAAGTATGAAACATATAATAACAGCTACAAAGAATCACTATCAGGATCTGGTTGTCCGATATGGCCTGGAGATTTTGAGTTACTATATAAGTATGAAACATATAATAACAGCTACAAAGAATCACTATCAGGATCTGGTTGTCCGATATGGCCTGGAGATTTTGAGTTACTATATAAGTATGAAACATATAATAACAGCTACAAAGAATCACTATCAGGATCTGGTTGTCCGATATGGCCTGGAGATTTTGAGTTACTATATAAGTATGAAACATATAATAACAGCTACAAAGAATCACTATCAGGATCTGGTTGTCCGATATGGCCTGGAGATTTTGAGTTACTATATAAGTATGAAACATATAATAACAGCTACAAAGAATCACTATCAGGATCTGGTTGTCCGATATGGCCTGGAGATTTTGAGTTACTATATAAGTATGAAACATATAATAACAGCTACAAAGAATCACTATCAGGATCTGGTTGTCCGATATGGCCTGGAGATTTTGAGTTACTATATAAGTATGAAACATATAATAACAGCTACAAAGAATCACTATCAGGATCTGGTTGTCCGATATGGCCTGGAGATTTTGAGTTACTATATAAGTATGAAACATATAATAACAGCTACAAAGAATCACTATCAGGATCTGGTTGTCCGATATGGCCTGGAGATTTTGAGTTACTATATAAGTATGAAACATATAATAACAGCTACAAAGAATCACTATCAGGATCTGGTTGTCCGATATGGCCTGGAGATTTTGAGTTACTATATAAGTATGAAACATATAATAACAGCTACAAAGAATCACTATCAGGATCTGGTTGTCCGATATGGCCTGGAGATTTTGAGTTACTATATAAGTATGAAACATATAATAACAGCTACAAAGAATCACTATCAGGATCTGGTTGTCCGATATGGCCTGGAGATTTTGAGTTACTATATAAGTATGAAACATATAATAACAGCTACAAAGAATCACTATCAGGATCTGGTTGTCCGATATGGCCTGGAGATTTTGAGTTACTATATAAGTATGAAACATATAATAACAGCTACAAAGAATCACTATCAGGATCTGGTTGTCCGATATGGCCTGGAGATTTTGAGTTACTATATAAGTATGAAACATATAATAACAGCTACAAAGAATCACTATCAGGATCTGGTTGTCCGATATGGCCTGGAGATTTTGAGTTACTATATAAGTATGAAACATATAATAACAGCTACAAAGAATCACTATCAGGATCTGGTTGTCCGATATGGCCTGGAGATTTTGAGTTACTATATAAGTATGAAACATATAATAACAGCTACAAAGAATCACTATCAGGATCTGGTTGTCCGATATGGCCTGGAGATTTTGAGTTACTATATAAGTATGAAACATATAATAACAGCTACAAAGAATCACTATCAGGATCTGGTTGTCCGATATGGCCTGGAGATTTTGAGTTACTATATAAGTATGAAACATATAATAACAGCTACAAAGAATCACTATCAGGATCTGGTTGTCCGATATGGCCTGGAGATTTTGAGTTACTATATAAGTATGAAACATATAATAACAGCTACAAAGAATCACTATCAGGATCTGGTTGTCCGATATGGCCTGGAGATTTTGAGTTACTATATAAGTATGAAACATATAATAACAGCTACAAAGAATCACTATCAGGATCTGGTTGTCCGATATGGCCTGGAGATTTTGAGTTACTATATAAGTATGAAACATATAATAACAGCTACAAAGAATCACTATCAGGATCTGGTTGTCCGATATGGCCTGGAGATTTTGAGTTACTATATAAGTATGAAACATATAATAACAGCTACAAAGAATCACTATCAGGATCTGGTTGTCCGATATGGCCTGGAGATTTTGAGTTATTATATAAGTATGAAACATATAATAACAGCTACAAAGAATCACTATCAGGATCTGGTTGTCCGATATGGCCTGGAGATTTTGAGTTACTATATAAGTATGAAACATATAATAACAGCTACAAAGAATCACTATCAGGATCTGGTTGTCCGATATGGCCTGGAGATTTTGAGTTACTATATAAGTATGAAACATATAATAACAGCTACAAAGAATCACTATCAGGATCTGGTTGTCCGATATGGCCTGGAGATTTTGAGTTACTATATAAGTATGAAACATATAATAACAGCTACAAAGAATCACTATCAGGATCTGGTTGTCCGATATGGCCTGGAGATTTTGAGTTACTATATAAGTATGAAACATATAATAACAGCTACAAAGAATCACTATCAGGATCTGGTTGTCCGATATGGCCTGGAGATTTTGAGTTACTATATAAGTATGAAACATATAATAACAGCTACAAAGAATCACTATCAGGATCTGGTTGTCCGATATGGCCTGGAGATTTTGAGTTACTATATAAGTATGAAACATATAATAACAGCTACAAAGAATCACTATCAGGATCTGGTTGTCCGATATGGCCTGGAGATTTTGAGTTACTATATAAGTATGAAACATATAATAACAGCTACAAAGAATCACTATCAGGATCTGGTTGTCCGATATGGCCTGGAGATTTTGAGTTACTATATAAGTATGAAACATATAATAACAGCTACAAAGAATCACTATCAGGATCTGGTTGTCCGATATGGCCTGGAGATTTTGAGTTACTATATAAGTATGAAACATATAATAACAGCTACAAAGAATCACTATCAGGATCTGGTTGTCCGATATGGCCTGGAGATTTTGAGTTACTATATAAGTATGAAACATATAATAACAGCTACAAAGAATCACTATCAGGATCTGGTTGTCCGATATGGCCTGGAGATTTTGAGTTACTATATAAGTATGAAACATATAATAACAGCTACAAAGAATCACTATCAGGATCTGGTTGTCCGATATGGCCTGGAGATTTTGAGTTACTATATAAGTATGAAACATATAATAACAGCTACAAAGAATCACTATCAGGATCTGGTTGTCCGATATGGCCTGGAGATTTTGAGTTACTATATAAGTATGAAACATATAACAATTATGACAATTTAACAATATTAGTCAATTTCAAATAAATTGGTTCTGCTTTCAATTTTACATGTGACTAAAAACATATTAAAAAATATTCGACATTAAAGATCACATTTTACAAGAATTATTGTAATGTGTGGCAAAAATAATGATGATATTCACTTACTTTTCGGCAGCATTATCTGTATCTCCCATTTGTTTATCGGCATCGTCATCATCATTTTCTTCATCTGATTGTTCTGGAATTTAAAAGGACATTTATTTAATTTACAACCCTATTTTATATGTTTAAAACTTAATTTTATATGACTATATTATTAACCTTTCTGTTCGACGTCTTGTGAATCAAAGTCGTCAGTCATATTGACTCCTTCTCTTCTTCCTTGCAATCTTTATCTTGTTCGTTCTTTTCTTCACCCGGTTTATGCGCGTCGTCCAATTGATCCTTTGAAAACAAAAACAATATTTTTTTTTGTGTGTAATAAATTTTGTCTACAGCGCTAAAGTCAATGATCTTTCGTTTCGGGAACATAATTCTATCTATCCCTTTCCCACACCTGGTTTTCTTCGCGTTCAGAGACATCTTTCTGTCCCTCTCCCTCACCAAGTCCCATACCGCTGTCTCCAGTAGTGCCTTCTCCCTCACCCTCCTCTGAATCTAGTTCTGAGTGTTGGCAGAAACTGTAAGGAAATAAAGGAAGTTTCAATTTATTACTTGACTAAAACATTCTTAAACAATAACTTATTTAAGGATAATCGTAAGTACAATCTGAATTAAAAAGCTTCAGTGGAACAACTTATTGAAATTATCTAATTTGTGGCAATAAATGAAAGTTTTTATAATATTTTTATTAATTTTCTGTACTTTAGATATTTATAAAGTTTTATATTTAAATGCAATCCCAACTTATTCATTTTAACATTGTGGTATATTTTAATCTAAATTATATCGATATAATTACCCTTTCGATGCCAGATCCAATAAAATCTTCAAAAGCACTAACAGCATTTTACAGGATACTCTATGCACAGCAACTTTTTGGGATACAAAATATTGGACAAATAGTATAACTTGCTCCAATATCGGGACCAATCTCATAACAACAGTTCTAGCTTCTTCCACATCAGACCGAGTCGCAATATATTGCACATAGTTAATCAAAAGTTCGCGCAATTTCTTGAATCAGTGGACATGTTCTCTTGGAGTAATTCTTTTAAATGATTATCTTCTAAAATTTCTTTGGTTTCAACTTTTACACCTTCATGTATAATTTCATCAATAGCGTTTATAACGTCCATATTCTCCGCTTGTTTCTCTGGCGGCAGATGTTTTTTGTACAACGATTGTATCACGAGTAACATCGTAGCCACAACATCTTCAGTCTGCTCTAACATTGTGCCGTCAGTTTCATCCATTTCTTGGTCTATCGGTTCATCCAATTTATCAAGTTCTGTTTTTATATCTTTAATGTAAGCCACCATATTTTCAAGGCTTCTTAGTATTGGATGATGCGGTGGAAGTCTTCTATGACCGTCGTTTTGAAAACAAACTCATATTCGGTAATAATTTCCTCACTTTTTTCTATTATAACGTCCAAATTATTCTTAACTTCTATATGACTTTGAGAAACTAGAGGTAACTTAATGGATTCTTCGATTTGTTTTAGGTTTCGAGATAATTTGTTTAACAGTGCCTTTTGTTTATCAACTAGAGATATAATTGACTTAATTTTTTTTATTAAGAGACTTCCATTCATCGCTATCCTTGAAACAATCAGCCAAAGGTGAGTTTGATAGCACTTTGTCGAAATCTGGCTCAGAATCAGTATTCAAATGTTTTTCCGGAACAGACTTCAGAACGACATTGAATTGTTCTAGAAGAATGCTCGTATGAGCGTAGCATTCCACTAACACATTGAGTATTTCTTCAAGCGAAGTTATATTACATCCTGTAGAGTCTATTTCTAACGCGCTTGTAAGACTCGTAGCTACGGTTCGTAAATCGAAAATATGTTTCGTATAACGCGAAATCGACTTCTTCTGAGTTTTAGCATATTTCTGGAAATAAAATGTATATACTTAAAATTTTAGCACAAATTATTATTTAACACTATTTATAATGTCATGGAATATCAATATAATGCGGATTTAATTTCTATTTCTATTATATCATATAACCGTTACACTTTTTAACAATACACTTATAGCAAAAAGAAATAGAAATATATACTTTACAAATAACAAAATATTGGTGATCACAAAACAAAATATTTGTGATCACACAAAAACATGGACAACGTCGAATGCTTTTGTTATATAGTTGTAAATACCTGCTTTTCAAATCGCTCATAGCGGCATCCCAATCGACGGGTAGTATTGTGAAATCATACATGTATAACGAGACCCGTGCGATAATTCAAGCCGATTTTGTTCAAATATTTGAACAGATCCGATAGAGCTTTACGCTTCTGCTGCGTTATGTTTTTGGCTTGAGATTTTTGTTTGTCCTTCGGCAATGTTGAATCCACCTACAATATAGAGTATTATTATTAAAATGTTTTGTATTTGTTACAATCTTAGCAGTAACAGAAGACATTTTTTTCGGATATAAGTCTAATTTTTAGAAATTATCTAAATGAAATAGAAATGACAATTCACATTTATATAAGAACCAATATAGAAATTGAAACAATTTTACGTGTATAAAATAAATATTCGTTATACATAGAATTTAAAAAAAGAATTACCTCCAAAGATCCTAAATGTTCACTTGTCTCTATAACCAAGGCTACAAGGTCGTCCAAGCATATAGTAGCGCGGGGTAGCCCGTGTTAGCGATGCTGTCCTTACAAAATGTTCGAGCTTTGTTCAGCAGACTCGGAATCTTTGCCAGGAGGCTGTTCACTTGTATTAATTGACAAGGCTGTTCGAGCTGGTATTCGTATTCCTGTAAAAGGGAATTCAATTATTAAAACATTATTGCGTAATGCGTATGTTGCATATTTATAACTGTAACTAATGTTTTTTTTTAAAGACAGAAAGAATGCAATTGTTGCTAGCTACCTTTACAGCAAATAAAACAGAAGACAGGCGAAATCATTCATAACCACCCAATTCTTTTATCATTATTATATTTTAAGTGTAATAAAAATGACGTGTTTATATACCTTAATGTTCTGTTCAGTACTACATGGTTCTGAAGATCTATCACATACGCTCCGCCCGCGGCGTTGCTTGCAGTGCCAGCCCTCTTTGGTCTATCCCAAATACCCACGTGGTCGATAGACTCACTCGCCGTGTCCACGAGACAACTCGATACACTGTCCTTTAGAACTTTCTGTAGACAATTTTCAAAGTAGGATATTTACTCACACTTCACAAACACATCAATTACATAAGATAATATAAGATGATAAAGTACACAATAATGGTTTATATTACAAACATTGACCTAGAAATTATCGAAGGAATTTATAAATAAAAAACATGGAGTCCCTCCGTACGGAAGAAGTGAAAAATAAAAAGTGGTATAAATATCAATTTATAGTGAACTCATATTGTTTCTTTAAGACAAACTTAATAAATATTGCTCACAATTCACAATTGATCCATTCATTTACTATCGCTCCGTCTCTTTCTATTCCCCCTCCCCAGGAGCGTTGAACGTTTAAGGCAACCTTGTTGGAAGTAGCATTAGACTCTTCACTACAATAAATATGTATATCAATATGGCTAACCTTAAACTCCTTGGTGTGTTTGTGTAAAGCTTTATGAGCCTTGTCTACTGCGTCCTTCACACTCCAGTAGCTGAGGTCTCTGTCCCAGGTGCAGATTTTGACCATGTCCTTAAACTTCTTTTCTATGGGCGCACGCTTTTCTTTAATATGTGAAGCCACTTGTGGAGCGAATTGACGATAGTAATTGCATGTATTCCACAACAATGATAGGAGTGCAACTAAAACAGAACATATATAGATAGAAGTAAATTATTGGATATTGCAGAAGACCCACAGTAGTTGCAGTATAAGATATAGATTAATAAACTGAACCTGACTAAACTTTTAGGAAATTAGGGTGATAAAAGTACGTATGTTTTTTTTTTTATGTAAAAGGTGGCAAACGAGCAGACGGCCCACTTGATGGTCAGTAGTGACCGTGGCCCATGGACATCCACAACATAGACGTTGCGGATGCGTTGCCAACCATACTTGTGGAGGAAAAGGGAGGGGTGGGAATAAGGAAATATAAGGAAAGGTTGGGAACAGGGAAAGGGCAACCGGCTCTCTCACTCATCGGACGAAACGCAGTCATTATTGACTACTTCACGCCGATCTTCTCTGAGAGGGTGGTACTTCCCCGGTCGAGCCAGCCCATATTTGAGCTGTAGTAACTAAACTACAGCTAGGCCCTACCACCTATAAATATATGTCGTCCAAAAAATTTAAAAAGAGAATAAATTATCTATCTACGAAAAAGATATCAAGTGTAGTTATTTTTGTTGAAATCTAATAAATAAATAACTTACTATAACCTATTCACTATAATTATTATTTCTAAAGCTCTTTGTAACATATACATATTACTTAACCAATGAATCTCACCGCGTCTTTGACCGGCGTCCAGATGTATTAAGTGGCAGTGATACTCATAAACAATGTCCAATCGTACATCGAACTCCGCTAGATTGGACTTTTCCATGAAATCTTTCAACACGGACACGACCCGCGCCGATGACATATCAGTCTCCTCCAAGTAAGATGTTATCACCGCATACATATAGAACCAGTATTTATGAGCTTCGGCCTGTTGTCTGAAATGTTAATTAAGTATTATCCAAAACAGTTAAACTTTTAATACCTACTAAAAGTTATTGTTCAATAGAATAGTTTTATGACTATCTTATTCGTAAGTAGACCAAGTTGTAGTAAGAAAAAACATTATTATAGAGAAAGATTAATACTGGAATAATATTATATACTAAGATTATTTTGTAATGAGATAAGTAGTTCTTACTTCATAATATGCTAAAAGCCATTCAAATTTTGTGACGTCTAAGTCAAGAAATAACATAATTTTCACCTTTGATACAAGTTGTTAAGACCCTCCTTCCAATGAGTCATTTCCAGTTTCCTCCAGTTAATGATCTGTTGTCCTACATGTATATCCAGCCAGTGATATATCAATCATATTGTTTCCTTTGTGGGCGTTTTTGTTCCATTCTTCAATTTTATCTCTAAAGAGTTCCAAACCTGTCAGGAATCTCGACACTAGACTGGTAATCGGAAAGCCGATTATTCTGTCTACTATTATTATAATCTAGAAAGATAAAAGATATACTAATAAATCATATATCATTTCGATATTGGAGATTCTAATACCAACGATATAAACGGGAGTCAATGGGAATGTATGAATATGTGTTGGTCTGTCGCGTTAAATGTATTGAACGGATTATGAAGCTTTACAAAAATGTAGTTCGACTTCACATAACATTATTATCACATCACTCGAAGTAGTTAACCAACGCATAACACACGTATATAGTGTAGAAGTTTAGTGACATAGACGATAGATGTCGCTGAAACCTCCTTAGTATATCTATTATATGAGAAAAACGTTATGCAATTCGCTCTGAACTCAATACTGAAGAGAACACGGTATGAGTCACGAAAGGAAACTAGTATTACATAATTATACATACATCTTTCAAAGTCGGAAAGTCTGGCCATTGATCCAATAATTCATTTGTCGCTTCTTTGACTCTTTCTAGGAGAGGAAGACATTGCCTTGTTTCGGAAATCCAAGGTGACCGGTAGAAGTCAACTTTTGAACCTGTTCCACCTGATATATACGAAAAATTATAAGATTATTCAAAAATTTACTATAACCATGTTTTAACCTCGTATCGAAGGATTATATATTAATTTAAAGTTTTCCATTTGAATTGAAATTTCGGACAGTTGTGTTGAAAAAATAGCAATATAATTACAAAGAAACGACATAGCACATTTTGGATACTCACTAATTCCATGGACTTTGTCTTTAATATGCGACACTAGCACCATTAAGCTTGGTAAAATAGTTCCTTCGAAAGTCACATCAATTCAGATAATCAGAATCAGGTCCTTTAATGACGTCACACTACATTATTTGAGACAGTGAGCTTTGTAAGGGTTTCGCTGTCTGGGAAAGCATCAGAATAAGCGACAATTATTTTGCTAAACGCATTAACAGAATGCAACCCCGAGGTCGTTTCCGTTAACACTGTTTGGGCGTTTTGTAATTGGTTTGGTTTGCTTTCTCGTAGGTACCGCTTTGTATAATATCATACATTGAACCGCAAGTTGACAAAAGGTTGGTATACAGGGTCTTCACTGATTTTTCAGATAGGACGGACTTTGTAAAGTGCTTGCAATCCTGTAAAGAAATCAATTTGTGATCAATAATTTCTATTAGGTCATACACTTTTTTAATTGATGTTTTATTATAAGTATAGCGCTTTAAAAAATCTATAAATTTAATTTCAATAGCGTAAAAAATGTTAAAAAAAGTTTTTTTACTTTCAATTGTTATGTAAGGAATTACGCGTGACAAGTGGCAAGCCAGAAGTGAATTTTAAACGAAGTAATAGAGAGATTTGGTTACATTTGAGTTTTGCTTTAACATAACATTAACATAACTTTAAATGCAATAGGATGCGGCCAGAAACAAACCGTTAAGTTTTTCATTCTTAAATTTTGTTTTTAAAAACAACAACATTTATTAAATTACATGAAAATCTAAAATCATCGTGTTTACGTATCTAGGGAACATTTTTAAACGTACGTCCTTATTTTTATGGATATAGTTAATTATGTCAGTTCACATTCCTCTATGTATTTCACTTTGAGTCTTGGTTTTCAACGTGGTCTATGGGACTTATTTCTGCCATTATTCTAAGCCCTAAGGAATAGAAGACTAGTCAACAGTGATAATTCCGCAGTTAATATTTTCGTTTTATCTCTCATATTGTTTTCGTTTGCGATAGAACTTGTAAGCTGCTTATATATATCGTTAGCTTTGTTCAACATGTCTATAATATTCGCGTCTCCTATATGTCGGCGCAGTTACCATTTTAATAATCAATAATTGAGGGTAGATAAATTATCAGGTGTCGTTCGCATAACAACCTGTCCGAGTGAAGTCATAACAATGGCGGTTAGTCATTATAAATAGAGGCGAGATTACTGATTACAGATAGTCGTGCTGGAGCCGTCGCGGGGATCGAACCTCTTGGAAGTGAGACATCATCCAACCGGCTGTGAGGGCTGTGAGGTTACCTTCGATAACCTCAAGGGCTGACGACATTCGAGGACAAACCGCACGGGTGACGTCAGTTATGCTGACGTCACTCATTTTAAAAACCACGTATTGGCACCTTCTCCGACATATAAAATATAATTATATTTCTCTAGTTATGACGTCACAATTATCTATAATACTCTCATTTACTGTATAATTTTCTAAAATTATATATGACAGACAATCAATGAGCTGTTCGTATTTTTTTTTTTCGAATATAGCGTCTGATTTCCTGTAAGAAAATATTATGTTAACAGATGTGCATGTGAAGATTTAATTATTACAGTGGACCCCCGGTAGTCCGACAAACATTTTGCAGGGCAGTGTCGAACTATCGAATTCGTCGGATTAAAGAGTACTGCCTAAGACCCCCTATAGTCCGGAGTTTTTTTACAAAAGAGTACTTTGTAATCTGACAACTTACAGATTCAATGATAAGATTATTTACATATTATATAAACATATGTACTTATATGTACGCTGAAGTACAAATTCAAATCCAACTAAGCAATCAGAATCATAACAATGCCATAGACGTTGAGCACAGTAGTGATGGTGCGTACAAGTTGTAAATTGTTCAATCATGCATTAGCGAATACAAAATATGTAAGTATTCAATAATAAATAATAGATCATGTCGGATTACAGGGGGTGCCGGATTAGTCAGGGGCCGGATTACCGGGGGTCCACTGTAATTTGAAAATATAAGAAAACAATATTTAAAATTTGAGTAATGCCGTTGAATCCAATGTACCGAAGTTTTTCCATAAAATATTCAAAACAGATTGCAACTGCATGGAATAGTCCGTACGGTCCTTCAAAGCAACACTTTCATATGCCATGACTGAATATGACGCTG